CAACTCTGTGAAATCTTTAAATTAATTTCGGAAGCTGCTTTCGATGTTAAAATAATCACTGGGGATTTTAACCTTCCTGAAATTGACTGGGTTTCCAATAGCTGCCCACCCAGATTCCAGCCCTTTCAAGATATTATCAATTTTTCTAATTGGTCCCAACTGGTGCGCTCTCCAACAAGAGATAATCACATTTAAGATCTAATCTTTACCAATGACATTGCACGTCTTTCTGTTGCTTTAAAAAAGGACCTCTTTGACAGTGACCACGTATTAATTCATTGTTGCCTACCGCTTGCCTTTTCAAAAAAGACAAGCGCCGTTCAGACTTTCATGAACTACGACTGCGTAGATAGCGACTTAATAAATAACTATATGAGATCCTTGGATTGGTGTGGCTTCATCACTTGTAGCGATGTAAACATTCCTCGTGATGTCATGTCCAATGTTTCCAAGGACATTCTAGAGTTTGTGCCGCGTAGATATTTCAAGCCTAATTCTTCAGATTCCCTTGTTCCTCATTTTCTTCAGAACAGACTAAAATGTTGAGGCTACAACTGCGTGACCCATCCACTAGTTCCTTATCTGTTCATCTTAGAATCACAGAGATATTTGAGATGGCCTCAAGGATGCGCCTAGCGCGCGACAGGCAAAGAGAATCAATTGCTCTCAGTGGTTCGAACCCTGACAAATCCGTCGCTAACATCTTCCGTCATCGGTCCTCCTCTAAGCGTGGTCATGAACTTTCACCCCTGCTAAATGATAACAAAGTCTTCCTCACCGATGACACTGACAAGGCGGAGTGGTTTAGTGCTTTCTTTGCAAAACACCTTGCTACCGAGTCCGATCCGGTCCTTTTCTTTCGATCACTTTCAGATAGGACACTTAGTACAACTGATGTCTCCTCAGATCTCATTAAGAAACACCTAAGCCGTTTGAAATACTCACACTGCTCAGGAACGGACGAGATTCCGAATTCGATTATTAGACAAGCGTCCGACCTTCCCATATTGATCAGTCATTTATTCTCGGTTTATATTTCAAAAGGATTCTTTCCTGAAACATGGAAAACGTCAATTATCATTCCCCTTTTCAAGTCAGGATCTCGGTCCGATGTTAATAACTATCGGGGCGTGCACAAAACGCCGTCTCTAGCAAAACTTCTTGAAAGGATTATTTTCAATGAAATTCTTGACTTCTGTCTAGCTAATCGGCTTCTGAGCTCTAGTCAACATGGGTTTTTACCTGAACGATCCTGCGAAACATGCCACTTGACTTTTCTTAATCTAATCACTTCTCTTCGTAATGAGCGGCAGTCAGTGGTAGTTATTTACTTTGATCTTAACGAAGCCTTTGACAAGGTGCCCCATAGACGTCTTTTAGTAAAATTGGAAGCCCTCGGCATCCGGCCGCCTCTACTCGACTTCATCAGGTCCTATCTGTCCAACCGATATCAGAAATTCATGGTCGGTAATAGCTACTCGACACCCCACTCGAGCACGAGTGGCGTACTTCAAGGAACGGTTCTGGGTCCGCTACTCTTCCTTCTGTACATCAATGATATTTCGACTGAACTCGGAAATTCACAAACTTTTACTTATGCCGATGACCTCAAGTGTGTTTACTCATACTCTAAGGACACCGCAAATGTTTGTGTTGAAAAAATAAATGCCGATCTACTACGCTTAAACAGATGGGGTTCGACATGGCAGATGGAGTTTTCATCACCCCAGTGTAGTTTCATGTCTTTTGGTCCTGCCAAACTTCCTGGTCCCATAATTTTTCAGAATAACCCACTCTCAGAATGCTTCACCATAAAGGACCTAGGTCTAAGTTATACAAATAAACTAGCTTTATCACCTCATGCAGATAGAATCTCTGCCAAAGCCGCGCAGATATGTGGATTCATATCGCATAACTTTTTCCTTCCGGAAATGAAGCTAAGACTTTATCAAATGTTTGTTCTTCCAGTCCTCGAATATTGCTGTCCTTTCTTCGGTTTAATGAACGCCTGCGACCGTAATAAAATCGAAAATGTTCAGAGGGTTTTCACCCGGAAACTGTTCTTTCAAGCTTCGTCCAGTATTTCTTATACTCAGAGATGTCAGCTGGCGAACATGAAGTTTTTGTGGGTTAGAAGACTCGAAGCTGGCCTTTGCTTCCTTTTTCGCATCAACTCTAGCTCCAGTCTTCCGCACATTGACACTCGCACTCCGAAAGATCGGTCTTATGCCACGCGCAACTCCTGCATGGTGATTCCGCCGCCTCTTTGTACTACATCTAAGCGCTCCCTCTTCTTTGCTTCCAAATATGCCTTCCTTTGGAATAATCTTCCGCCTGAAATTAGATTATCGCCCAGGTTACTGGTATTCAAGTCGAAATTACGTAACCATCTTACACCGGAAAGCATAAAGGCACTGTTAACGGTCTCATTCCCGAACACTCAGATTCTTGACTTCGAGAAGGGTCCTCCTGGGATTTGGTGGTAGATTAAGTGGTAACTCTTAATTATACCATTAGAAACCCCTTTTTTGAATTTGTTTCTAAATACACTGCTATCCTTCCGCCCCCCATAGCGACACTTTTCGCGGTTTTTGATGTCATATGCCACATTCTGACCTCATGCGATCTGTCGACGCTCACGGCGTAACCCTCAGTATTCACTGTCTACTAGTAGTTCGGTCGTACCTCCCTTCCCCACTCCTCGGCTGAACTGGAAGCGTGTTGTGACCGATCGCATCTCGGTTCCTCTGGTCTGGCCTCTTCTGACGCGGCGTACAAATCCGGACCAGACGATCTCAATTGTGAATCCCGTATACAATGCCATTTGCAAGCCAGTCCTGTCTGACCCACATTCGTACCCATCAAGGCTGACATTTATTGCTACCCTGACGATGACCGACAACATTCCGTTATATACCGCCACCTACAGGCCAGTCCTGCTCGCTTTTTTCTGTTATTATTTTTATGGAGGGTTTTTTTTCACCTGTAAAATCAACCCAGTCATTTTTAACTTTTTGTAAGGAGTTTTTTTTCACTGCTCAATCATCATGTTTCTCAATGGACTTCTAATTCAGAAACTATGAGTTGCATTTTGTAAAGATTCGGCCTACCTCGTCTAAATTTCGCATGCAAATTTATTTTAACTTGCTTTGATGGGACCCCGACGGGTCTTTAATAAAAATTATCTATCTATAAATTATCTAAATAGGTCAATGCTTTCAGTTCGCCATTTCATGTCAAGCTTAACAGAGTAGACTTTGTCCATTCAAGTCCGCACTCCTGCCCTTAAACCCCGAGATTCATCCGAAAACTAATAAGCCTACAAGACTAAGTGATTCAAAAAGCAGCGGCAACAAATTACCGCTATTTTAGCGTCGCTTCAAGAAATCATGTGCTTAAACCCATCATGCTCGGTTTCCCAAAGAGACGAGCAGGTATGACTAGTTATTCTGTCTTCCAGTATCCCCAAAACGACTTCTTCAGGTCATGTCTGGGCACACGACACTAAAAGTCCACTTGTGGTGTTTGAAGCGGCGAGGATGTTAAATAGCATTTTAGAAACATGACTTTGTATATATATGAAATTGTGGCCAAAATCGGACCCATGCACTACTGAATGCAATAGTTGCTTAAGGTTTATAAATTAAAGAGTAAAATTTCGAATGAAGGCTCGAGTAGCACAGTACTAAACGGATAGTGGTCGTGATTTTCTCAGCAGACCATAAAGAATACAAGCTAAAGTGGAAATTTCAATAAAATAAGAAGAAGTTTTATGCTAACCAATCAACAAAATAGGCAAATCGAAAAAGAATAGACCAGACTGTTCATGTCATTTCTTAATTGCGGCTGATAAGTATCCTGGATGGCCCCGGTTTCCCAGAGGCCTGTCGATCCTCACATTCCTTGCACATTTCAACCGGCACGAGAACTGAATTGGAAAAACCATAGCAACGTAAAGATTTAGTTATACATCAAATTCGGAAAGTGAGTGTCCGCCTAAGTTTCATTAATCAGACACCCTCTTCTCTGTCTTCATATAGGAGAGTGCATGACAGACGTTACTCATATATTGAGATTAGGCATAATTTCGTAAAATCGCTTTTCCTGGTGGGCTCAAGTTAGTCCTTCCTGGTGAACCAGTTCTCCCTCTCATTCTGGATGATATTCGTGAAGGTAGACAAAAATTACCTCGACACAACATCCCGAAAAACGCCAGGCTGATCGTTTATTCAAAGATTAATACCTAGTTGACCATTCAAGTGTAATCTTAATACCAATCACTCTTTGAATTTATCCAATAAGCTTTGCGGTCCTTGTCTACGACAGGTGTTTTCAGACTCTTGATGATGTCTCAGTGAGACTGGACAGGGAGGGCTGGCAGCTGGTGCATTTAAACCCTGTGCCCCAAACCACTTCAAGGGCGTTCATCGAGACTGAATTCGGGTGATCGAGTACGACAGAGAAAGAGTTATAGGTTAGGTCTTGCCCAGGTTTTTATGGAAGATGCTCTGGATGAGGCCTTTCACACTCATCGTAAAAACCTGTCCCACTCCTGAACACCGTTTGACCTCCGAAGGGTGAGTAGTTCAGCCTATTTGCTCTTAAATGTGACAAATTCTATTCCCATATAGGCTTGACCAGTGTTCAGCAAATACATTTAGGCATCTCCTGGGTTCAGAGATATTAAGCGGCCTCATTAAGTGTTCCAGGAAACAGTTAAGGAGGTCGCATCTCGTTTTTCTCATTTGTGAGTAGGATTGTCCGGATCTGACCGAATTTAAATCCACTTGATAGCGGCATTATGCGGTGCAAAGAAAAGCAACAAAATGCTGGCAAAATGATTATTCATAGCATTAGTTCCATCACCTTTTTCTGCACGAGAACGTCTGTTGACGCAAATGGACCGCATCCTTCTCAGTCGCCGATAGCCACTTGGGCAATAGTCGTTAGCTGAATCGTAATCGTAACAATCCTATAAAGGAAGAAGAAGGCATAGGTCTGTTTACAGGATGGTGAATCAACTGGTTTTTCGCAAAATCACACCGTTTGCAACTTGGATTCCATACGTTCCAACGCCCGTGTCTCCCACTTCATAAAGGGGAAGTGGTACTACTATACATGAATCAGTAGCGGTTATTTTTCAGTGTCACAAACTACTCGGGCTTGAACATTCGTGGTCCATCTGGGCCAAACTCACGTTGCAGTAGCACACTGCAGGACAGCAGCAGACCTGTTTCCTCACGACGCGTCCATATTTGGCGTCCTCTTTGAAGTCTGAAGTTAGAGGAGATAGCATGTTTAGTCAGTCAAGGTATTGTCGACTCCTTTTGTGCTGCTACAATCCTGGAGGCAAAAACATTAAGTGTGGAATGGTGCAGGCTAGATGGAACCCCAAAGAAGGATCAGCCGGACTACATGGTGGCAGCACAGTACTGATGCATTTTCGATTCGTTCAGATGCCATCATTTGGTCCGGACGCATCTAGCCCGACAGCCCTTCGGCTGCAGATTGTCCGGACCCGAGCATTTATCCCTAGTTGTGCTATGACATTCCAAAAGGTCATAGAAAGAGGAAAGAAACGCCCATAACCCTCTTATGTTAGATTAATTGTTGAATACTAGCCGACACGATAGTTCGAATGTCGTGGGTGGCGAGATCCACCAAGCCCCCAGCAGTGATTTGAGCATGAACTTGCTTACAGTTCGGGGGACATTCACTTCATCCACTTTATTCTCTCGCTCCCCCTCGTTCCGCACCCCGGTTGCAAGGAGAAGTCAGATCGACAGAAGGCAAACGAGGTTACAGTAGCCGACGAAGTTAAACAGCCCGTCTGTTCCCTAACTCGGACGGAGGCCTATGACCCGACAAGGATTCGATGTCGATAAGGTCGCAGCCCGAGTTATGACACAGGTTCGAATCCTTTCAAGCCACGATATTCGGCGCATCGTGGCAATTTCGGAGGGCCATATAATGTTTTATTAGACCTTAATCCAGAATTAGATCTGATCTCTATCGATCTTGCGCTCTTCTTCTCTCACCCACCGGTGGTTTACTTGATAAGAGTTCACTCAGCGGCTGCCCTGACGTGAAGTGGCTATTTGCCGTGTTCCTCAAACAGGCCCGAAGCTTACAGAAATCAGTGCTCGTCTACGGGCAATCCGCGTAACAGTACATCCTCCTGGACAGCTCTGATTGCGAGAGACAACCCCATCAGCGGGATCGCCGAGACCTGGGGGAACTCTGTAGTGGCTCTACTCCAAGCGCCTGTCTCAACGGTGAACTTCTTGCGGGTGTTTCAGCGTACGCACCAGGGTTGTCTGGTATTCGCCCACTCAGCTCTCCAAGTGGCCAATCAAATTCAAGGCCAAATCAGACGTGCCCTGGTTTAAGATGCTTTGAAGCATTCCCACACGACACCTGGGACGCCGCTCACCCGGCACCGGATGTGTCCTCGTTCGGCTGCCAACGCTCTCTGCAACTCCTTCTCCAGGTTTTTTGTGCAATGATAAATGCACAGCGGCTTAAAGGTTGCCTGCAACACGAATTTGGCGTAACTGCGACGAAGGTACATCATCAAATGCCTCTGGGCGAGGCTTCTCGACCTCGACTGTTTTAGAAACCATATGAGTTGCATGGAAATGCGGTGAGTGGAAGAAGGTAATGAAGCCCAAACAACAGGACCGACTAGGAGTACTGTGAGAGACGAGCATCCATAGTCCGGAACTGCTCGTCCCCCACTTTTTCAGAGTTTCCAATTTTTGTTCGGGCTCGCGATGTGTGTGTGTGCGTTGAGGGCACAGGGAATCCCACAAAATCCATAAAGTGGGTCTTGGGGAGGGGCGGGCTATACAATGGCCCGCAAGTAGCCCAAACGAAAGTGCCAAGGCAACAGGTCACTTCTATTTTCCCTTCAATGGCCTTATTAGGCCACTAATTACCCATTTCGCTCGTCGATGTCGACGGGGTGTGACCACGTAGCTCATCTTGAAGTGCATCTGCCTCAATCTTCAGGTTCTCCCTATTTGACATCGGGGTTTAGATGACTGAAAGTAGTTAGACTCTGGAAATGTTCATACCATTCCCCTTGAAGTTTGTGGATTAGACTTCCTGACATTAATTATCTTCCTATTTGCGGTAAAAATGCCAAAATGCGCATCCACATCAGGTGACCTATCTCATGAAATCAGATGACAGAAACTGATGCGAAAATTTATGGACGTTTTAAGCGCTACTCATTTTGTCCCCTCTCCAGCCTCTATGTAGAGATGTCCTTTTCTTGGGCAGAAAGTGTGTCCACACAATTTTATCAGGAAAATGTTCATAAAGTTGAGCGAACATGGACCTTGCAATATATTCGGGCAGTCTTCTATGCCAGTACTTGTCCTGGACTTGTCTGAGCGTAGTTTGCTCAAGAGTCTTTCTAAACAGAGCTCACCGCACGCAAACTCAATGTAATCCGAAAAAATGAAAAGTATAAATTAATTTCGCGGAAGAAAAGGTCTCGTTATATGCAAAACTGGTGGGTTTACGATTACACCTGTCAATTTCTTTAAATTTATTAATCGCTGGCAACATGTGCCCTTATGAGTAATTTTGCTCATATGACGTCCCCACTGGCGACATTACCTTCACAACTTCTTGTGTGTTTTTGATCTCTTTAAAGTAGTTCTTTATTAGTAAAAAATAGTGGGTTCATGTTTTGGTGTCGATTTGCGAGTGATTAGCAATCATCTGTAAATTTTAACACCCTTCGTGATTTAGGTAAAGTACTTATGCTTATGCAAAAAACAAATTGTTTTGGTAAGTCCTAAGGTTTGATTTTGCTTTTTATCTTTCGATACTGCATCTGCATCCAAATACAGCCTTTAGAGTCTGCTAGAAGGTGTTGTAGGTTTAAAACATTTTTACGGACACCTTACCGGTTACATCTTCATATCCTTGGCCAGAGGTCTGAAGGTGATTATTACGAGCGTCAACGTCAGGTTGATCTTCTGCATTAAAAAAAACAAATAAAAACTGGTCAATTGGTGTTTTTGGCAGATGTGAATAATCCATTTGGTCTCGGTGGGATGCCAACCCAGGACAGCAGGGATAGGACTCGAGTACAGGAAACGCTCTAACTACCTGAGTTACGCGGCCCCACCGCAGGCCATGGACTTAATCCACGAAATTTGATACAGAAAGCTGATTGCCCAAGCAGGATTTTATAAGCAATCAATCTGGAATCCATTTAAATGACTACCAGGCTCACGTAATTCGTAGATGTTTTGGCAGATTTTTGAATTATTCATATTGACCCAACTGTGAAAAACTCGGCGCCTCGATGGGATTCGAACCCACGAGAGCGAGGGGAAAACTTTAGTACAGCCAACTCTTTAACCACTTGAGCTACGAGGCCCCGTCGGACGACGCGAGTTATTCAAATACTGTCAAAAAATCTATGGATTACGTGAGCCTAGTAGTCAGCTGGTGGATTCTAGGTGAGTTACTTAGGAAATCCTGCTTGGGCAGTCAACTTACTGTATCAGATTTGGTGGATTCCAGACGTTGCAGTAGGTTGGGCGGGTAACTTGATCCATCCGAGGCGCCGAGTTTTTCACAGTTGGGTCAATATGAAAAATTGATTTTTTTATCTTTCTAATTACCGCGTTCGTTGGCATATGACAGCATAAGATAGGACTTTCGACAGAAATTTACTTATTTTCTGTGTTTTCTTACATTCCGCCTGCTCTCCGTCCTGCGTCTTGCCCCACCCGTAATACCCCCTCCTCTACCACCATTCATCGAATGACACGGTCCACGGGCTGCCTCAAGTTCGTTGGGGTCCTACACCCTATCGATGCCGAGGAATATATGTTTTTTCCCACGTGGAAACTTTGTCGAAAATAGCCTGTAAACCCCAAACGTAGTTACAGCGGCAGGTAGGGTTCAAACTTATTCGCGAATTGAAAAGCTTAAAGGTGAAAACTGTCCTCCCTTGGATTGGAAATTTTTATGAGGACGGACCCCCGCTAAAAAAACGCATACAAGAAAAGATATTTTGATGCCTGCTTCATAGGGGCGTGGAAGATCAACCGTGAAATTCTGCACTACTTAAGTAGCTATCTTCCAGTGAGTGTAATTTTTGCGGACGACTCGAATGGAGCACACTCAAAAGCCGGCATACTGCCTTAACTGAAATCTATCGGGATTATGTTGCGTGATAGGCACTATTCCAATACCCCTAAATCTCACAATTATTGTTCGAGGTAGATCACCTACTGTCAGTGAAGTAATTATTGGATGGATTATGTTACCCATCCAGAGTACTGCAACGCATGGAATCCACGAAATTTGATACTGGAAGCTGATTGCCCCAGCAGGATTTTATTAGCAATCAATCTGGAATTCATTTAAATGACTACCAGACTCAATTAATTAATTGGTATTTTTTGGCAGATTTGTTGGCTAGAGCGTTGACTGTACTCAAGCCTTGCTCTTGCTACTTAGGTACGAATTCACCGACGCCACGGACTGTTCGGTCAAATGAAAACACGGGTTTCGTTGGTAAAGCCAGAGATGTAACAATCAATGTAGTCTGTATCAGTACGAAATGGGTGAGCTCATTTGACGCACTAAAGGGACTGCGCGCGTCAAAAAGTTGTGGGAATATCAGTCAGTATCAGTCAGTGTATTTGGAGTAAACAACAGAAGCCATGAAAACTCCATTTAGAGGGTACAGGTATAAAGTAAAATAGTTAAATTGCAAAACTTTTGCTTGCAGTTTTAGTAGGAGAATTCATAAATCTAATAATGTAACATGAAGGTGAAAGGGGTATTATATTCGCAAAATAATTGCGAAAAACTTTGTTCACCACACTCGGACTGTGAAAATTTCAATATGGGCTAAGTTTGACGCAAAAATAGGATCTGTTGAAATCCTGTGAGTAGTATATTTATAGTCATTTCAATAATCCGTTAGATCAGGCTTCGGCAGTTTGGGTTGCCTTTCAGCAGGAGACAACTGGATACTCACCTGCTGAAAGGCAACCCAAACTGCCGAAGCCTGATCTAACGGATTATTGAAATGACTATAAATATACTACTCACAGGATTTCAACAGATCCTATTTTTGCGTCAAACTTAGCCCATATTGAAATTTTCACAGTCCGAGTGTGGTGAACAAAGTTTTTCGCAATTATTTTGCGAATATAATACCCCTTTCACCTTCATGTTACATTATTAGATTTATGAATTCTCCTACTAAAACTGCAAGCAAAAGTTTTGCAATTTAACTATTTTACTTTATACCTGTACCCTCTAAATGGAGTTTTCATGGCTTCTGTTGTTTACTCCAAATACACTGACTGATACTGACTGATATTCCCACAACTTTTTGACGCGCGCAGTCCCTTTAGTGCGTCAAATGAGCTCACCCATTTCGTACTGATACAGACTACATTGATTGTTACATCTCTGGCTTTACCAACGAAACCCGTGTTTTCATTTGACCGAACAGTCCGTGGCGTCGGTGAATTTGTGCCTAAGAAGCAAGAGCAAGGCTTGCGTACAGTCAGCGCCCTAGCCAACAAATCTGCCAAAAATACCAATTAATTAATTGAGTCTGGTAGTCATTTAAATGAATGTGATATCAGCAGAACCCCCCCCCCAGGACTTGGCTGACTGCAAACCACGACTTTCTCCGCGGTTCCACATAGCGGGCTCCGCAGCGATACTTTCGTGTGAATTTGTTCACCTTGCAGAGCATTTACCGCACTCTCTCATCCCTCACTCACCTTGCTCGGGGGGGGGGAGGGACGGAACGAAGACAGGGAGAACGGAGGTTGGAGTATCTGCAGTAGCTGCCACAGTTAAACCACACGCATACGCGTGCCACAAACACAATCTGGTCGTCACTTTCGAAACTTACCTACGGCGCCTAGCAGGGTATTGCAGAGTTCTGCCGGAATTCAGCCGTTTGCTCAACACTTGCTCTAGGAAAGACACGGCTAAAGACGCTTCTGGTGCATCTTCCGGAGCCGACAAGATAAAGTTTACGGCAATGCCAGGAACCACCATACAGTTTAGGCTCTCCTAATGGCAAAGACGCTGTATGCCGACACTGGTCAGAGATCTCGGAATCTGCCAACAATGCACTGCGGGAAGTTTTTGAATGCATGCTGCTAATGAAATAAAATCTCATTCCGAAGTGCGGTAAATCCGGGTGGCACAGTCTGCGTCATCGCTGCCTGACTAATCTAACTCACCAGCCCATGGTAGATTTAATAAAATCAGCGGTTCGTGTGCTACCTCGATGCCGGAGAAAGTTTGACAAAAAAGCGCTTGTGATCACCTCAGGCATGCCGGTGAGTAAGCGCTTTCCGGCATGTTTCAAAAAGGTCACAGGGCGAAGAGTAAATAAAAATCATTTTATCTAAACAGACGACGGTTGGATTAATTGTTTATTTTTTGTAAAATAAAATTCCTGTTTACGAACAGGGATCAATTCGCAGAAAGTAAAATAGCTAAGAGGTGAACCCCGTCCTTTTTGGGGTCACAACTCACATGCCGCCGAATCAACCCAAAAAACAAATTAGCCATTGAGCGTGACGCGTGCAAATTGAGTGCGCACTTTCAGCCCACAAAAGACGGTCGATTGATAGCTAAATTTAAACCTAATGGGTTGACGTCGTCACTTTTCTTCCGTTTCAAATTTATGTTTAAGACTGTGGATTTTAACTGATAATTTTTTTAAACGGCTGGAGAGTTGTTTTGTGCATTTGATGGTTGAGAAATAAGTTTATGTCAGAAGTCGCATTTTTTATTCGCCTTTTGAGCTTCTTCAGAGTGCTTTTGAACTTTTAATTTTAGCTCGATGAGATGGCAGTCTCTTTTATTACCGCAAATGCGAAAGGAACCTACCGTCAGACGAAAACTCAGTATAAAGCTCCTGTAAAATAAAACAGGAAAGAAAAACCGTATTTTAGAACCAAACAGGTCAAACGTTGGTGTGTTTATCCGCGTTCAAAGCATAAAAATGGATAGATTGGATGGTTTCCTTTCAAAAATGACATTTCTGGAGTTAAGCTTTTCAATTTAATTTTAAATGAACTAGGCAGGACCTGAATTTTCTAGGAATAAAATAAGGTTTTCAGCCGCAAAGATTATTTCATTAAACGAGATTAATCCTAACTAAGTTTTCTATCTAATAATGCATCTTTCGTCCCAGTCATTACATATACCCTAGTTGACCTGCTTAGAAAAATATTATTCGAAGTTCTAAAGCGTGTTTTCTATTAAAAAGAATTGTTTTGATGCGATGTAAATATTTATTATCGCGCAGTATAATTCAAAAAGATTTCCTTTACGAGAGGATGCACTTCTTTCCGGTCGCCAGAATAAACCACACTCAGTCAAAATGACTACTTAGACGACATGACAATTTCCACCGATTTCCAATGCCCGTATAAGTTCAAAAGCATCTCGAAGAAAGCATATTTAGTATTCTTTCCTGCACTTAATTTTTATTAAATTATATTTTCAAGTAGTCGGCTTAAAGAAACCCTGTCAGTAAGTTTTAATGAACTTTTCCAATCCTTAAATTATCGTTAACACGATCTGTTGTTACATCTTAAACCACGTGCTGTATACTTTCCGCATAAGGAAAATCAAACATTTATCTACGCTACTATGAGGACGTTATAAAGGGCCCATAAAAGTTTGCAATTAATGTGGTCCGTTGTATAATTCATAAGAAGCATTAATAAACGGGCAGATAAGACGCTCTGTGAACGGATATTTCGAGGTCTTAGAAAACTGCATGGTCATAAATCTCCTTAATCAAAAGATACCATTTTTAAAGGGAAAATCGTAAAGACGATTTAATTTTCTATCAAATAAGTGTAAGAAAGGATATTTTCACTCGTGTTTTATATAAAATATATTTGAGTTTTTTAGGACATCGATGAACAAGGGGCAAATTTCCCCTTCTTAAGTAGTCATTTTTACCGAGTGTGGTCACGGCAGACGGCCGGAAGCTAATCCATTCCCACTTAAGTAATGCTTCCTAATTGAGAATACATTTCAGAATTTCGACTAACATTTCATTAGATAGTCCATATAATCTATGCATTTGTTCTCATTTCGTAGGTTTATGTTAAGGTGGGATTTATCCAGATGTTATAGCCTTGATAGGGTTATTTTTCGTCATGCTTATAGAGGTCTGTCAGAGCACAGTTAGTGCATAAAGTTGAAAAGTGCTCATATGTCTGACAAGGACTGGTGAATGAAAGTCTGGTCAAACTGTCCATTTTGCTGTGCTTTGATTGAACTATTATTAATGAGCAGGTTTATAGACCAGTCGGGAAACTTTATATATATATGAATAATGGAGGTAGTATGCATTCCGACGCTATATAATAGAAGGAGAAGGCTCGTCGGAAAATCAAGGTATACTCGTCTGACGACGGGTTGTTGTAACCGACTTGAAATTCACGAGTATACCTCGATTTTCCGACGAGCCTTCTCCTTTTATATATATGATAGAAGCGAGGATGCGCGTCCCCGGGCATAAATGAGAAAAAGAGACGATCTCGGGAACCATAGTTGTATTGCCCTGACGTTTCAAAAGCAAAACAAGCTTTCTTCGTCGGAGGTGACTGTTGTACCACGCCTCACAGTATTTATAGGTTGTGATGGTCTCCTTTCAACGGGTTTACCTCTCGTCGGGTGCTGGCCTTCGGGTGCTAGCCGTCATCGCACGTGTTCGCATGGATCTTAGTTCTCGTCCGCGGCTGGCAATCTTCTTTACGATCCCGCGATAGCCTGTGTTCTCACCTGCCGGATAAGTGGCAGTGACGCTGGCACCTTCGTCGGGTCCGTTTATGTTACTGCAACCGTCCGTTTTCTCCTCTGCCGGAAAGGTGGGTGTCGCGACTGTTGTGACGACCGCACCTTCCCCAGATCCAAGTTGAAGTGCGGCTGCGTTTTTTTTCCCCATGGACCCGGCCGTGATTAGGTTCCTTTCTCCTCGTAACTTATCCGGCAGAGGAGAACACAGGCCGTCACGGGGTCGTAAAGAAGATTGCCAGCCTAGGACGAGAACTAAGATCCACGCGAACACGTGCGATGACGGCTAGCGCCCGAACGCCGGCCCCCGACGAGAGGTAAACCCGTTGAAAGGAGACCATCACCACCTATAAATACTGTGAGGCGTGGTACAACACTCACCTCCGACGATGAAATCTTGTTTGATTTTGAAACGTCAGGGCAATACAACTATGGTTCCCGAGATCGTCTCTTCTTCCCATATATATATATATGCTTGTGTAATCTCAACATCTTGGTCTTTGATATGGACACTACCTCGTACCTAACCAAAGAATCCAACAGAACTTATCAAACTAAATCTAGCCTTCCTTTGTGGAAAGTAGACTCGGATTCTAAGTGCCCTGTCTTGACAAATTCTAGTATTTAATTGAAAGAAGCCCATCTTGCCACGCGAGCGTCCAAAAGCGCTGCACTGACCTGGTCCTCCACTGCATAAAGATCTCGTTATTCCCTTTTTCAGCAATTCTCTATGTATTAAGTAGTGTAATGGCAGACAAACGGTTGGAGGGAGGAGGGCCATTCCTAGCAACAACTGGTTACCTCGCGCCACACCGGTGAGCATACCGGCACGCAGGGCACACAATAGTTGTCTTCCACACAGGGGACTGTGTTTTGGTAGACAATTTTGTGCTGAATAATTGGCCGCAGTGGCGGGCTTTCAGTCGGCCGTTTTGGCGAGACAGAAGGTTTGGGCGAAATAGACGGTGGACGTCGATTCAGATTCGGTGGTTCTAATCAGTGGGGCAACAAAGTAAACAGATATTTTGACTGAAAAAAAATGCATTCAAGACCGGGGAGGGGAGACTCTCGATTACCAGATGTGTAGGTACATAGCCAAAATGGGGAAAACAAAATCTGCGGTGTTGCAGGCCACGGAGAGGGGGGGGGAAAGACAAGAAATGTAACACTCACGCGGACGGGCAGAGTGACACTGTGCCCGGTCAAGGTCGCGCGCGGATGTCGCGCCCAATCAGACAGCGTGGCGCCAGCCATCGTCAAGGTCACGCCCTCTTCGTTAGACGAAAAAACTGTCAACGTGTCCCTGGCCGCCCGGATGCGTCCACAAGCTTAGAGCGGCGCAATTGCCATTCCGGTGATTATATGTTCTTTTTTTTATTAAAACCTCGAGAATCGCATATTCGCCTTTATTCGACAAAACCTAGCACCTCACCATGCGCCAACAAAGAGAAAAGTGCAGTTTCCACTATGATTAAACCGGGCAATTGACCTGAAACCCTATTTGGTTTTTCATAAATGGTTGAAACCTTGTCAGACAATGTTGTGGCTCGATTAGCAGGAAAAAAGAAAGAAGACATTTCAGTTTTTATATTAGGAGGCAGTCATCTGAAGGGTAAATAAGTAAAGGGTGGATCCATTTAAAAAAAACCTGCTGACATGACCTGCGTAAAGTATGTCTCCCCAGAGGCAGTTTGAGGCCTCTACGGGTCGGTTGAGAAAGGGTTATGTGTGCAGAAACCCTACTCCGGACGCCCGCTGCAAAACTGCGCCTCTCGCCTCCCGACGCCACTGCAATCCAAATCGGCCAATCAGCTTCAAGGTGTACGAAGACGCCTTTTCTTAAAGCTCTCTGACGCCTGTTCTAAAAGCGGTGGAATATTGTTCGCCTCCGGCTGCTCCAATTTATTCTGCATTCACTCTGTGCAGAATTTTACAAACTATAAAACCTACTACTTTAGGCATTTGCTTAAGAACGGTGGAAAGTATTCGCCGAAATTCCAGTGTCACCCAGGAACTTAGCGGATTCTGTCGTCATGAAGAACTACACAGTAATTTTAGGGATAAAAAGCTTCCCTCAAGGGGTACATGTTTACGATGACATCGGCTAATCTTTTTCGGATTTATTACTCACTACTCAGCCTTTCGGCTTGTCACCTGAGGAAAATTTTTATTCCTCTGACGTCGCTGCCGGCGAAGTCTGACCAAATCCTCTTTAACTTAATTAACTGCATACTGGAGAATGCAAAAACAGAGGCTAATACATCTGATGAGTTACGTCACATATGGTGATAGCCGTTCTCCGGATAATGTTCGACATTCCATTCGAGAATTCAGTCTTTACCGATTCATTGCGGTGCCTTTAGTCTCCAGTTAGTCCGACAGCTCGGCGTGACAGTCACACGAGTCGCGACTGCATCATTTCTCACACTGGGCTTGATCAAGATCTCGACAACAGCTGATCAGGATTATCGTGAAATGACGAAGCCATCATCACCACCTGCGGCGCAAACACCGCCTACTGCACATCAGGAACGTAATTCTGAAGCATCCGCCTCCTTCAGGCGTCATTACTTGTCTGCATGCTCAAAGCAAGGAAGATAAATCAGAAAAAGTACTGTGTATTGCCCTGATTGTAAATTTTTTTAAAAACCTAACTCGAGTGGAGTTCACCCCAAGGTAATAGGTTACTGAATTCATACACTTTTAACAATGACAAAGTTGACCAGTAATAACACGCCGTCAGCCTCAGTACTCACGCAGGAATGTGCATTTACAAAAAACCGTAGCAACGCCCAGGTAGCATGATGTGCCATACTTGACAGTCCAGGCGCTGGCTGAAAGCCCAGACACGTGCTTCGCCAGCATTCTGCTGATCATCAGTGGGTCCCACGGGGTTCCTCGTGTGCTTTTCTGCTAAAAACTCCAGTTTTGAAATCGCGGCTTTTTAATTTCCGTTGACTTGGAGTAGGTCGGTATATGTGAGTCTTGTGGGCTTCGACTGAGATTTTAGGCCGACCTACAGTAGGTGGACTAGGTCGTGAAATCTCAACAGAAATTCCGAAACGCGTTTCCGTTTCGAGAATATTTATTATGCAGGGTTGTAAAAGTAATCATTCTGTAGCATTATTCTATAATAATTAAATGACCCTAGGATGCCGGCTTTCGAAAAAAACTTGTTTTCGGCTGCATGCAAAAACCATACTTGATTAAAAAATGACTAATTAAGTAGCATGCATTTTTTCACTGATTTTCGGTGCCCTTGAAGATTCAATTCAGTAGAATTCATTCAGTAGAATATTACGTCTTCTTTTAATTTTACGCTCGAAGAAAGGGCATAATTCGGTTTTAAAACAGATTCTAATTGTGGGATTTTCTAATACCGTGAAATGGTCCTTCATAAAACGGGCTGTCTCTGCATTTACCAGTGTGGCTTGTGAAGGTAACAATGTGGCTCAAATTCACTGCTAAATGTTTGAACCCTATATGGTCTCCTCTTAATACCGTACAGAAGTGTATGGTTCATCATACGCGGAAAATATACTGCTTGTAGTTTTGAAACCCTGAATACAGATGTAACAGCAGGTCGGGTTCGAAATTATTCGGGAACTGGAAACGTTTTTGAAAACCGAATTATTCACATTCTTTGAGTTTAAATTTGGAATTTGACGTTATTTTCCACCGTATGAACGGAAAAATGAATACTTTAAGGCATATTTTCCATGAAAAATAATTGAATTTATAGGCACATCGAAAAACAAAGAGAAAAATGCATGCTTCTTACGTAGTCATTTTTTGCAGAGTAAAGTTTTTGCAGGCGGTCAGAAAGAAGTTTGTTCGAAAGCCCGCATCCTGAGGTAACCGAATAATTACAGAATGACGCCGCAAGATGATGAGTATTACAACCCTGCTTAAGTAATCTTTCTGAACCGAAAATGCACTTCGGAAGTTCGGTTGACATTTCATCAGTTAGCTCACTTACTGTATTGAGGAGCCGAACCCCTCGCAGTAGTGCCTTGCACTGACAGAATATCAGCCAAACGCACGTGCCTGTCCTTTTAGCTAGTCAAGTATAGTATATTTTGCTACGTATGCATTTAATAATGGCTGCCTGTTGGCGGGTTATAAATATTACTCTATCATTCCACCGTGGTCGATGGACTTCGGCCCGAATGTCCATACCAACTTCCAGTCTAAGCATATAAGTCTCAAGATATCAGTTAATTTCTGGGAAAATTTAAAAGGCCGCAATAGTAAAAGCGTGTATAAATGCTGATTTTAAAAAAATGATGCATTACTTGAAATCAAAATCGATAACTCTGTGGTAAGTCTAACCCCATTTAGAAGGAGGGATCGGTAGCGATCATCGATGAATTTCATGACGGCGTTGTTTTAGTCAATACATTTTATTCGGCTCTACGAAGATGGCTTCCAAAAGTAGAATTTATAACATGCATATGCCGAGTCGGCACTGCAGTTCGCACATCATTAGGCGGCCGAAGGGGGAGAAGTCAGTTTTATGGAGGCTCTCTGGTATGCAACTTTCTGCGCACATGGTCGCAGGATCAATTCTTAAATCTTTCAAGGAATTCTCAAAAAAACCGTTACGCTGCCGATTGAGTTTGGACTCGGCAGTTAACATTTTGCTCCTTCTCGTCGTCCAACGAGAGTAACCTGCGAGGATGCAAGCCTAGTGGAGTATCTGCAAATAGAATGTGCTCAGACATTTCATGTTTTTTTCGTTAAATTCTTAGACCCGCGTGTGTTCCCTGGAGACTTGTTAAAAAAGTCCTAAATGAGATTGTACTTTAATCAGTTTTATGAAGCACAATAGAGGGGAGTTAACAGTAGACTCACCATATGGCGTTTCCGTCTGCGTGGAGACGGCTGTGCCTGGTTCCCCGTGGAGAGCCAATGATAGTGAATACGCCGATTCCCTCTTTCGCGATTTAGCTGAAAATATCAAACGTCAAACAACTGCGCCTTTAACATCAGCTCAGTAATTGAAGTTATTTTTGGTGCGGCAGTTACTGCCAACAATCACAGTCCTGTGTCCGATCGGCTCTGCAGACCTGGGATTGTGAATGGCTGGCTAATAGGCCAGAAATGACCGTCCCAGGCTCCCTTGTCTGTGTCAGTGGTCTCCTTTTGCATATTCTACGGGTCGCTGTGCGACTGACTGCGAAGGATCTAGACTGATCTCTAAGGCAGAATGAAACGAACAAGTCCTGTAACCTGATCGGTTAATACCCTGCCCGCGATATTTATATATATATAAATGACCGACGAAGACAAGGGAGACTGAAATGGCCATTTCTGGCTTACTAGCCGTCGTCAGCCAGCCATACCCAACTCAGAATGCGGCACACCCGAGGCACGAACTCGCGACCTGTTTGTTAGAAGTCCACGCCTCTAACCACTGAGCCACGAGCTCGTTGCCCTGTATATATATAACTTTGCTGCACTACTTCAGTAACAATAGGAGCTGTTATCCAAGACTATGCTCTCGATTAATAGTTCTTGTCGGGTGAAATAAGTTTGAAAAGCGTGTTGACGCTTATAAAAAGTAGGGGGAAATATTTGAACAAGACATGGAAATAGGAACCCACCCTACTATGGGGGTCTTGCGCTAATTTTCAGGGGAAATTTGGTTGGTGTGGGGGCTGGGTTAGGCTTAGGGTTAGAGAGCGAGGGTACTTGCCCTTCCTGAAATTTTGCGCATCGCCACGGAGTAGGGTGTCGTGTCCAAACATTTGTCCGAGCGACTTGTGAGATGAGAAAAAACCGATTAAAAGTTCCATTCTTGTGCATTTGAGGTAGAAAGGTACCCGGGGCACACAGCGGGAACCCCCAAGGCAGTCCATTTGAGAGGACGGCGTGTCCGAAATGGGTTCCGTTCAAAGTTAAGTAAACGTTCAGCTGGACAATGTGCGACTGCCCTCACGAATCATTTTATACTTTCTGTACGGAATGTGGTAACTGCGCTCATCTAGTTTGACGGATTCACCGCGTTCGAAATTAACTTCGGTGGAAAACAAATGAATTCAAAAACGCCTTATCATGCTCTTATGTTTACTAATCTGTCTTCCTCTGCTATTTGGGGCACAGTACGGCGAATGTCGCCCATGAATGAGGAGGAGGAGGAGGGGGAGGCGGAGAGGGAGGGGGAGGAGGATGAGGAGGAGGAGGAGGAGGAGGAGGAGGAGGAGGAACATACTGATCACGGCAAACGCTCCGTGAGGAAAATGGAATAAACGCAGTTTGGGATGTGGGCTTAAACTAGCGGCCAGAAGCGGAGACTGCAATAAAGCAATTCCTCGCAAGATCACGCTTTGACTTTCGCGGATTCTTCGCTAGGTCACGGATTTCGGTGGACATTGAGCGGTTTCATTTCTGGTACATGAGTCCTCAGGTAATTTACCAGTTGACTTCATTCACGGAACGCTAAAGGCCATATTTCTGCTAAAATATGTGCTATTGCAATATGCTTAGAACCACATTATGTATTAAATGAGGCTCCACAAAGATAGACGACACTTACATTTGTGCGTGTTAGATAAACAGTGTGGTTGCATACATACTGTCAGCAAACCTGGTCTAATATCCAAGAGAATAAATCGGGTTTAACGTTGTAGAGTATGCTGCATTAAGTTACTTTTTCGCAACATTTCTCACACACTGGGGATGTTTGCGGGCTTATAATGGTTTAAAATATATTATAATAATAACCCCAAAATACATGATTCTATGCTTCGTGAGTTTTCACTTTTCAAGGGGAGAAGCCTTTAACGCAACTTCAGCGATCAAGGAGGTATCACTGTATTCTGGCAATAACTTTTCTTCACCGGAGAGTAATTTCATATAATCGCGTAAATCAAGGAAATACTTGCTTCACAAAGCGTACTCATTAAGGAGCACCACAACAAGGACACGCGGGGACTTAGGTTTCTCGTTTGTGTCATATCTGTCGTTTCCAGTCGGCTACTCCACAAACAACTAAGATTGGGCTAAAATCATCGGTCTCCCCGGCCTGCTGTTGGCTATGACCGACTGATGATAACAAGTATGCTCGAAGCGGCAACCGCGGCCACCCTTGTCTTTGTCAGTTATGATTACGGAGGTCATTTCGATCGTGAGGCCCCAGGTTCCCAAGTTTCCTCTCATAAGCATCCGCATCGGGCATAATCAGCCCTATTGGCAGCGAGATCGCAATCTTAAGTCGACTGCCGCGTCTTCTGCAGACCTAAAGTGTGATTGGCTATTAGTTGCCATGATCTCTTGCCGTTTGCACCGGCAGACGATTCCCGTGCGGTCATTGGTTGATCGACTGGACTGCACACATCGGTGAGTAATCGGTGCCCTATACTACCTGTTACCTGTGTTTAAGGCTGAGAAGAGCGTACCTTCAGGATGGTGGGAGTAGGGTCTTTTCATTCCCGACATCCACGCAAAGTTCTGGATTTGTTTATTTAAACTAAGTGTTCGCTTATCGAGCAACTCGTGGAGGGAGGAGATTTGGAAGACAACTGGGAAATGCTGAAGCTTCAAGGTCAATTTAGGACAATAGGACAGCAAAATGACTCGTGCAGAGACCGATGGTCAACTTACACCGCCGGCGTTTGGATGGGGAACGTGCCCGCCTAGATCTGCGCCTCTGTTCGGATCGGTAGAAGGGCGGTGGTGAGGGCGAAGGCGACATCGGTGGTAGAGGTGGCGGTGGTGGTGGTAGTGGCGTCATCATTGGTATCATCGGTTGTTGCGGTACTTCCTAGGATAGATGGGAAAATAACTGTCATCCGGTGATTCCGTTTTCTTTTATCCAAAAAGAGCCAAACTTATGGAACGCCCGTTCCAAAGCATTCAAGGACTCACAGACTTGACTGAGAAAAATACAGGAAATAAGATTGTTACTTTTCAGTGACGTGTAGTGAGCTCGGAATGGCCATTTTAATATCGACAGCACTACTTGACTACGAAATCGTGCTAAAACGAAACAAATTTAAGGAATATTACTTCTTGGAGGTATTCGACAAGTGTAGTTCAACAAAAAGACCAAACTGACTATACTACCACTACCTTTTGCACCCTAACAGCGTGTACAGACCCGGAATCTGCAAAAAGCTTCATAGTAAAAGGGGGAAAAAACTTATTTTCCTAAATTTCCGGTACACGCAATTTGACGTCGAGTGACTCACAAAATCAGAGCAAATCGACGTCATTTAATCCGCATCAGTTGGTGTCTCTTCGACATGACTCACGTATGTGGCTCCCTAAACAGGACATAAGAATGTCAACACCCCGTCCAAGTAATATAGGTGAACCCGTGAATAGTCCCGGAAAGCGCAAAATACTCCCGTACCCACACCGGAACAATAGCCCTAATATAAAACCAAACCGTTGACTTAATCTTGACCCTAGCCATACATTAGGTGAAATACCTCATGAAATGTCAACCGCAATTTCGAAATGCGTTCTCGTTTAAAAAACACTAATTAAGTGCGGTTGTAAGCCTAATTATCGTGAGGCATAATTGTATAATAACACAGTTACTTCAGGGTGTCGGCCTTCGATCGAACCTATTTCCGACTAAATGCAAGAACTATACTCGGCAAAAAATTACTGCTTAATTAGCATACAATTTTCTTAGTGATTTTAGATGCCCTTGAAAATGCAATTATATTTTTCCTGGAAAAAAGAATAAAATTATTCAATTCTTCACTTGTTCAATCAAAAATCACGACTTAATCCAATTTTCTACTCAAAGGAAGAGTATAATTAGGTTTTAAAAGTTTTCTTATTGTGAGATTTCTTAATAACGTTAAATGGTCGTTCATAAACCGTCATGTCTCTGCACTAACCAATGTGTCTTGCACAGTTAACAGTATGGATCAGATTCACTGCTAAATTTAATAAACCCCATAGAGTCTCCTCTTAATACCGTAGAGAAACATATGGTTTTCCTTACGCCGAAGTTTTATGGCTCGTAGTTCGGAAACCCTGGATGCAAGTGTAACGACAGGTCGGGTTCAAAATTATTCGGGAATTGGTAAACGTTTTTAAACCCGAATTATACCCTTCTTTCGAGTACACAATTAGGGTAAGACGTGATTTTCTACCGAATAAGTGAGAAAATGAATATTTTATGCACTTTTCCCATGAAATATAATTGAATTTTCAAGGGCATCGAAAATCAATGACGAAATTGCATGCTATTTAAGCAGTCATTTTTTGCAGAGGATAGTTCTTGCAATTAGTAGGAAATAATTCCATTCAAAAGCCGACATCCTGAGGTAACTGGATCATTATAAAATTAAGCCGAACAATGATTAGTTTTGCAACCCTCATTAATTAATCTTTTCGAAACGAAAACGCATTTCAGGATTTCGCTTGACATTTCATGAGTTAACCCACCTACGGTACACTAAACCCTAATCCTGAAGTTGACACTAATCCCTACCATGACCCAAGACTTGATCCTGACGTACTTTGCCGCCAACTTAAACCCGACCCAGACATCAAACCTAGACCCAATTTTATTGGTAGTTGGCTCAAAGCCACTCGTATTGCAGGCGGTTCCTTTCTCATGTTCTGTTTGGGGGGTCAGGCCAGTTGAAAGATTCAGAAACGGTTTCTTGGCTGCAATCGAAGGCTTGCCGCACTGACTTCTTTTACAGAAGACTTTAAAAATAGGGATTCGAAACAGGATGCTTCAATGAACCAAACGCCACCTATCGTCTAGAGGACAAAGACTTCTTGTTGGCAATTCTACCTCCGAATGAGTAAGAATTAAAAGTGGTGTCCCACAGGGTTCTGATCTAGGCCACCTACTTCTCCTGACTGATGTAAATGACTGCACCAGGAAACTGGATCGTGAGTCAAAGAAGCAAATAGGCGAGTTCTAGGAAGCATTTTAGGTGAGAAAGAAGAAGAGGAAGAAGAAGAAGAAGTGATGATGCGATCACTGGAGCAAAGTATTTACTGGCCTAACGTTTTGGATTCTCACTCGGTCCCACCTCTGACTGTCTCTGATGAAGGGATAAAAGTGAGAATTCGAAACATCAGGCCAACAAACTTCTTTTTTCAGTGATCGCACCCTCTTTTTTAGCTGTCATGTTCGCCGACGATATCAAAATATGGACTGACGTCAGCAGTGCTGACTTCGCGAAACATTAGCAAGCCACAGTGACGATATGAGCTGTTGGTCGAACAGGTGACTCCTGAAATTAACCGTATCCGAACGCATGATACCACACCTGAACACCTGCCGAAAAGTGTCTCTTAAACACCAGCTGATGGATTTAAGCTCAGATATTCATATCAAATCTCGAACCGAGCCTGAAAAGGCCTGTTCCGAAAGATTAACTCGAAGTTTGCGTATTAATTTCCTCGGAAATTACACACGACAAGTTTAGACTGGAATTCATATGCCATAAAACACACGGGGAATGCTGGGGGACCCACTGATGAGCCGAACCCCTCGCAGCTGCATCAGGCAGCGGCACAAGATCGGCGAAACACGACTGCCTGGGCTTTTAGCTATTACCTATGTTGTTAGTACGGTAAATAATTGCACGATTAAACATCAGTAACTTATTTAGAGCACTCCATTAAGAGCTGCAGGAAAGCATGTGGACGATATGGACATGTGTACAATCGCGAATCTAGTGCCATGTGAACACTAAGAAGATGGTATCCAGAAGGCAACTAGAACGTTGCACTGAGCTAGGAGGCCCCTCCTTCTGAACTTTTCGGGGTAATCTCCGGCGTCTTCGTGAGGACCCATTGGGATTACGAAGTACCAACCTGGATGCCGTGGATGATGGAAGGTACTGACCTCCACAGACAGTTGTCACGCAGGGCAATGCAGATGGTCATACCGGATTTATCGTACCAGAACGGGTTGAATGACCGTGACCCCTGTTTCCCACAGGCACTTAGGGCACAGCATTCTTCGAACATTTCGGACTGCCCAAGGCCAAGTTCGTCCGTCGAAACAGTCCGCGTGGGCACACCACCACCAGGGATTTCAGAAGACACGCAGACATTTTGCAGGCATGATAACAAAAAAGCAGATTAGCAGTGTCCATTATTTTGAATCTCAGACTAATAGTTTGGGTGAAAACGATGCGTCAGAAAACCCAACCACTAATCACAAAACCAGGCTTTGCCGAAAACGGAACTACGAAGGTTCCAAAAGATTTTCTCCAAGTTTGCGCAGAAATTTCCTCGTAAACTGGACAAAACAAGCTGAAACTGGAGTTCATATACCAGAAAACACACGGGGACGGTTGGAAGACCTTTCAAAAACGTACTTCAGAATTTCGGTCAACATTTCATGAGATCGGTCACTCACTGTACATTATGTACATAATATATTATGGTAAAGGTATTATACCGTACTCCCGACGTAGATACTTGCTAAAAGCCCAGACACGTGTTTCGCCGATATTCTGCCGCTGCGTGACACATAGCTGCAAGGTGTTCGGCTCTTCAGTGGGACCCCCAGCGTTCTCTAGCGGTTTCTGGTATATGAACTCCAGGGAATAATCAGGTGAATAATTTCGGAAAGTAATCAGTGCAGGACTTGGAGTTAAATCATCGGGACATGACTTTTCAGGGTCAGAACCGAAATTTCAATGAACATTTGAGTCGAAGACAATCAACTACTGTGGAATAACCACGTAATGCCCATTCAACAAACAAGCAGTACTACGACTAGTATGAATTCCATATGGTGAATGTATTATACCCTTATCCCGACCTAGATATTTGCTAAAAGCCCAAACTTCGGTTCTGACCCTAAAAAGTCATGTCCCGGAGATTTATCTCCAAGTCCTGTACTGATTAATTTCTAAAATTATTCACCTTATAATATATTATTTAAATATGCAGCTAAACCAATTTGACAGTTAAATATATAACCCGCACCTATCAGTTGTGCGGTATCAGTTTCTGGCTAGCGGATTTCGGCCCAAATTTTCACATCACTTCTCGGATCCATCATAAAGCGATTTTCCCAGAGAATTTGTTTTATGTTCCTGAATTGTGCGATAAACGGCCAAGTTCGCCCGTCGACACAGGAGGATTTCTCCGAGTTTGCATTCGAAACCCGCCTAGGCAGTCGTTCGTGCACGACCGGAAGCCGGCGCATGCAATTAGGCCTCACGAAAAATTTCTTCAATCAACTAGTAGTCCTACTATGGAACTCAGTATTAGGCGAGATGGTGACGGCTGGCGTTACTTTTGAATTTAAATGAAAACCTGAGTACAGAGGTGTTGGTAAAAATCGCCTTCCACAGCATGAGTACTTACAACCAGCCTTGTAGAGCACTTCGTGATCAATCTTCTTCTGTATAGATTCGCATTAAAAAAGACAATTATAGCCTTTACTTGTGTCGTATTTTTGACTCGACCAGGTCCTCAACTATCATAGCAACCACCCATTGGTGCACAAACGGGGCTGTGTGAGGGCGCTTTTCGACCGGGTAAAAACGCACTGTAGCGAGCCCGAAGGAAGGGTGCAAGAACTACGGCATCTCCGGGACAAATTAACAAAGAACGGCTATCCAAATAGTTATATCAGCCGTTGCATACGCGCACACCCACGCCGGACAAACGGAAGACAGACACCAACAATTTGGCACTTTCTACGGTACATAAAGAATGTGTCCGAGGCTACAGAACGCATCGCGTCAGAGCTAGGCGTGGGCATCGCCCATCATCCGGCGGCCACCATGCGTAGCAGGATCATGAAAATGAAGGATCGGCTGGACGCAGGTGAACAGTCGGGCGTAGTCTATCGAATCCCGTGCCAAAACTGTCCTTGCCACTACACAGGCCAGACAGGACGACGTCTGAGCTCACGAATACTTGAGCACAAACGGGCCGTTCGGAGAGGCGACCCACTGTCTCAAGTAGCCACTCACACGCTCGAGGAAGGGCATGAGTTCGACTTCGCCAACACGCGGATATTGGCGCGAGCCGGCAACAAGACAGGACGAGAGCTGTTGGAGGCGTGGGTGTCGGACACCAAATCTAAAAATAGACGCATCGATTTGCCTGCGCGTTATCAGGCGCTCCGCCCACACAGCCAGGTGGCGCAGCCCACATCGTCGCGAAGTACATACGGCGTCACCACGCCGGGGGACCATCGTGGACCAGGCGGCACAAACCCTACCTAGCCACGGACGTACTCCCCCCCCCCCCGCAAGGATGAACGATATAAATGTGCACAATTTGCTGCCCTCGAATAGCCTCTGATGATGAACTCAGGCAAATAAACCTACTGTCCCAGTGATCGCTCCTTCGCCTTCTTTTAAACAGTTTTTCATGTCCGCTATTTTACATTGACTGAAAATATGTTAACATTCACTGCACAGTAAAAGAATCATCAAGGGCTCTCTCCAAAACCCTTCAACTGCATGCATACGTACATGGAAAAGTTCTATCGGCAACGAGAGTACTACAGAACGGCTGTCTTTGACTTTGCTACTATCATCTCAACCAGCATGGGCTGACGTAGCTGAGTACTTGTGCATGAAAGAACTTGCAACAGCACATGAAGTGACGGACGCCGATCTATTCTGAATTTGAGACAGAAATGAGAAGCCTCCTTTTTCCTTGAAGTTGAGTGCCAAACGGATGGATCTCTGCTCACCACGGCCATACGACCGATGATGAATACTACTTTTTGGAAAAAAAACCAGGAGTACAGAGCGGTTTCAGTAGTGGGGAAAACAAAGTGACATTTTTCACGGTCCCTTTGATTGAAGTAGCCAACTTTACTCAAAATAAACTACTTCACGAGTCGACAAGATAAGGAAGTTGATATGAACCCTGTACGTTACTTAGGGTATGCAAGCGTGTGATACGCCAGCATCAGCAAACTATAGCCCTGAAGAAGGAGACACGATCGCCGGGACAAGCGATTTATTAGCCTGACGTTTCGGATTCCTACTCGACTCCATCATCAGAGACAAAAGAGCAGAAACGGGTGGTTGTTCCACAAGGGGCTGCGGTATTTATAGGATGCAGCAGCCATGCTACCGCATACCTATGAACGTTCACGGCTTTCCCCTTCATCCGGGATTGTCACACTTGGTGTGATCTTTGCTTGATGGCCGACATTCGAGTCGATAATTGCTGCAATTTCATCACGTGCGTTGGATGTTGGCGTGATGATTGCTCGACCATCTGACGCGCTGACCCGGGTGTTGGGAGGAGTGTTCACCAGTGCGTTCCCCGCGTGGCCAATTACTCCGCCTAGACGAAGTCTCAGCACGCTGTATTGAATGGGAAGATCGTTGCACTTGTTGATGGACTGGGGGCCAGTAAACCATGATTCCAGTAGCTCTTGGCTCACTCGGTTGTCACCTCTTGCGAGAATTTCGGCCTCGTCAAATTTGAATGTGTGGCCGGATCTCGTCGGATGAGCTGCAACTCGAGAGCTGGCGTCATTTCTGCGCACCGCTGCCGCGTGTTCGGCCATTCTCGTTCGGAGCTGTCTTCCGGTTTCGGTTTCAGGCCCTCGCAGCCTGGTATGCGCTGGCAGTCCCCTGACACCTGGTTTCCTGCCGATGGATGCGCCTTCGCTCCCGCTGGTGGGCATGGCTGACAAGTCATTCTCGTCCTGTTGAGGTTTTGTTGTTTTTGGTGAAAAATCCCGGTCAAGTGTATGGCGTGGTGGCACGCATAGGTGGGGGTCCGGCCGTACTGACCATCTGCGTTTTCCTCCCGCCTCTGGTGTTCTTGACTTTGCCTTGACACCGGGTCAAGGTAGAGAGTGGGAAGAGAGAGTGCGGTAGATGCTGTGCAAGTCCACTATCATTATAAACTAATCCACGCGCAAGTCACGGTGCCTCCTGTACCTAGCTGTGTAGCACACGGTGGACATCGTCGGAATCGACGGTAGAACTGTCACTTAGGGTTTCAGAGATGTGCATGGAACGGACTCCCTGATGCGGTGGTTCTTTGCGGAACTCTTGAATTCTTTAAGTTCGAACTACACTCTCTTTTGCCAAAAAAATACTGTACATATAATCACGATTGTCTTGGAGGCGGCAGTTTGTTCCTGGCTCTCACTTACCGCTAACTTTTAAATTTCCAGATTTACTCTTGTAACAGCCGATTCTACTGCTGTTTTTCGATATGACTAGGATGCTCAAGGGTAAGAGCCTCATTTCCTTAAAAACTGGCTTAAGCGACATGGCATTTCTGCGAATGAAGCATGAGCCGTAAGTGTCGAGACACTTCTCCTATTGGTTGCGCTTGTCTAGAAATCGTTTGATGACATTGTTGCATGAATTTCACGGAATTCTTAGGAGGGTGGGGGGGGGGAAGTTAAAAGCCTGCGCAGTTGCCTTTGGCTGTGATGCGAATAACAGGGCTGTGCCTAAAGCCCGGACGAACCCCACGCACCACTCAGAAACCGCCCTTATTCTTCCAAGGCGGATCTGGTAGCGTTCCCACCAGTGTGAGTCGGCACTTAAAGCGTCATGCTGGGAGCTGTGGTGCGCAGGGTGCAGGCAAGGACGTCCCTGAGTCACACGGTTGCATCCGGCGTTTAATCATACAAACAAACGCGAGCCCACGCTGGGTTGATTTAATTTGCTCGACCCGGCAACTGTTTCGTCATGCCTCTATGACAGCGTGTCTCTGATAGCCAACTTGTGTGGGCTCACACAAGGGAGGTTAAAATACACACAAACACACACACAGAGAGAGAGGGGCCATAGTTTAAATTGATTTTCAGCAATTTAATGTAATTATGTTTCAGCAGCAGTTACAGCGAATTCTAACTCAGGCGCTGATTGGATGTTACTCGGTAACTGCTTACAGATGGCTTGATCCCACCACACCCCCTCTACGAGAAGAGAATTAGATCATTTCTCCACTTGGCCGTAGAGTAGTATACGCAGATCTGCCCGATGGGGAGAGTTATTACAGTGGGTACGCTAACTCATGAAATGTCAATCGAAATTCCGAAGTGGGTTTTCGTTCTAAAATACTACTTAAGTAGGGTTGTAAAACTAATTATTATACAACATAATTTTATACTGATTCAGTTACCTCAGGATGCCGCCTTTTGAACGAACTCCCTTGCGATTGCATAGAAAAACCATATTCTGTAAAAATGACTACTTAATAAGCATGCATTTTTCTCATAGATTTTCTATGCCCCTATAAAGTCAATCACCTTTCATGGAAGACATGCCTAAAAATATTTATCCTTTATCTCATTCGGCAGAAAATTACGTCTGCTTTTAATTTTACAATCGAAGGAAGGGCACAATTCGGTTTTCAGAAGCTTTTCCAATTCCCGAATAATTTTTAACCCCACCTGCCGTTACACTTGCATTCAGGGTTTCTAAAGTACTAGCTGTGTATTTTCCGCATAAAGAAAGCCATACATTTCTCTAAGGTATTAAAAGGAGACCATATGGGGTTCAAAATATCTAGCAGTGGATTTGAACTATATTGTTAACTTTACAAGCCACATTGGTAAATGCAGAGACATGCCGTTTTATGAACAGTCATTTCACGCTATTAAAAAATCTCAAAATTCTAAACTTTTATAAAGCCGAGTAAAAAATTGAAATCAGACGTAATTTCCTGCCGAATAAGCGACAGAATGAATATTTTTAGGCATGTCTTCCATTAAGTGTGATTGAATTTATAGGGGTCTAGAAAATCGATGAGAAAAATGCATGCTTACTAAGTAGTCATTTTTACAGAGTATCGTTTTTCTATGCAGTCGCAAAGAAGTTCGTTCAAAAGCCGACATCTTGCGGTAACTGAATCAGTATAAAATTATGTTGCATGATGATTAGTTTTACAACCCTACTTAAGTAATCTTGTTGAAACGAAAACCTACTTCGGAATTTCGGTCGACATTTCATGTGCTGGCCCAGCTAATGTAGATTAGTTGATTAGCCATTACCCACACAGTCTAAGCATTTGTTTTATAAGAATCGCTTACGTAATAGCAAACGGGTGCGCAGACCATGGGCGTCGCACAGATTGGTGTGCATGTCACGGTAGGCAGGACTGGCTGGGCGGGCGCCTGCAGGACTCCCGTATCTTGAACGGCCCCTGCAAGGCAAGACAGCAAAAAACCAGTCCTTTTCACTTGTTTTAACTGCTTGCTCTTAATGAAGAGACAGTAACGCATGAACAACATTTTGTAGCCAGACAGTGGGGGCGACAGTAAGGAGGAGGATGAGGAGGAGGAGGAGGAGGAGGAGGATGAGAAGGGGGAGAAGAGAGGGAAAAAGAAGAAGATGAAGAAAAGTAAGAAGAAAAAAAGAAGAAGAAAAATACGAGGAAAATGATGAAGGGGGAGAAAGAAGAAGAAGAAGGATGAGAAGGAGCGTGGGAAAAGGAGGAAAGAAGGAGGAGAAGAAGAAGAAGAAGAAGAAGAAGAAGAGGAGGAGGAGGAATAGAGAAGGGGAGGGGGAATAGGAAGAGGAGAAGGGAGAAGAAGAGGAGGAGGAGGAGGAGGAGGAGGAGGAGGAGGAGGATGACGATGACGACGACGAGGACGGAGGGGAGAAGAAGAAGAAGAAGAAGAAGGAGGAGGAGGAGGAAGAGGAAGAAGGATAATATGATGATGAGGAGGAGGAGGAGGAAGAGGAGGAGGAGGAGGAGGAGGAGGAGGAGGAGAGGAAGAAAAATAAGGAGGAGGAGGAGGAGGGGGGGAAGAAGAAGAAAAAAAAACGAAAAGAAGAGGAAGATACGAGAGGAGGAGGAAGATCAGGAGGAGTAGGAGGAGGAGGTTAGAAGGGGAGAGCCGCGTGTCCTTAACCGGGGCTGGGGTCTTGCTGCCCTGACAGCCCTGATTTCACGGCGCGACCGCCGCGTACGGCCATTATGTGCGTCCTAGCGCCATTAAAATGATCTGCAGTAAGTAGGGTAGCCTTGGAAAGTAGAGATAAGCCAGACGAGGCTGCAGACGGGCGCAAGGAAGAGCGAAAATGACATTCCTGGCCTACGTTTCGTCATCTCTCAGGCATTAACAGGCCACAGATAGCAAAGACTTGAGGTCCGGTCATGAGTTCTCTGCCCACGGGGCATTTAGGTCACATGCTCAAGGCTCAACTCCTGCTGGCTGCGTCCACAATTACTCGCATTGAGCTGAAAGTGGCACATATTGTCCCACCCTGACTAATGGACATAAAATGCACTTTCTTTTTGCCTCGGTGTGTAGATTTGGAGAACATCTGTTAGCGCGGCAGATCAACTAATCTTTGTTGAGTGGACTCTTTTCACTATTCTCACGTTTGCAAATGTGCCCGTTGTTTTAAGATCGAATTTCAAAACTTAATAAAATTTGAATTCAAACTCTCGACATACGCACCTTTAGTACTGGCAACTAGACGGCGGTCCGATATTTCACATTTGACAATGGCATCGGTTAGGCGTGCATTTTTTGCGTTAATTAATCCCAGCTTTAAGGAAAGGCGGCAGCGTTTCAATCAGCTGATGTCACTCCTGCAACTCGCATGCTTTTTATCGGTAGAATTTAAGACCAACCCCTAGTATACCACCTCCAAACCCCGTTGTCTTCATTCGAATACTTTTTGACGGTAGAACACAGGGATCTTTAAATGGACTGAATAATTCATCCAGCCATCGATCCAATATGCAATGGACTCACCTGCATTATAGGTTACCGAGACCTGTCCGCAGTCGCTTTTCACTGTAACGCAGTTGCGATTTGGAGTTTCGTTCTCTAAAAAGGTCCACAATAAAATGAGTCAACGTTGGCGACCTTTGGCAGGGAGAAAAACATGTATAGTTTTTTGGCTGCCCATAAGGTGGTTATTTCGGTCAGACACTACGCGAGTATTGGATTGGGCCCTCCAAACGGGCCACGTGGTAGATGCGCTGGACCAATACGGGGGCAACATCGGATTCTGGCAGGCGTTATCGGATTTGAGCACCATAACGAATGCCAACATATCGGGGTGCGGTGGCAGGCCCGGTTGCTGGCAGACGTCGCGCACACTGGGACCCCTGCCGCCCCACTGTTGTTGTTGCTTAAAATCCTGGTCATTTGCTGTGTAAACTAGGGGGTATGGAATGGAGTGGAAAGGTGCGAGCTCGACTGTGTCAACCGCCTGCGCCCTTCCCCGCCTCCGGTCTTCTTGACTTTGTCTTGACACCTGTTCCATTTGGGAAGGTGGAGGGAGTGCGGTAGATGCTTCGCAAGACTACTATCATTATAAACTACACTTTTGCACAAGTCACCGTCCCTGCTCTCACCTTAATGTGGAGCACACGGTGGACATTCTCGGCAGCGACAATCGGTCTTTTGGGTATTGAATCGGCAAAATACCAATAGAAAGCTCATTTAACCCAAACAGTTTATGATAAGGTTAATTTACGGACCACAAAGGCATAAAATACTGTTCTGACTGCATTCTTCTGGCTTCAGTTGCCAAGCAAACCAGACTTTGTGGGCTCCTTGAAGCATCTTTCGCCGGCTTCGACAAATTATTTAATGTGTCATCCGCTGTCAGGCAGCCGCAAGGAGGATGATGTTAGCTCGGCTAGACGTCTGCATATGGGTTGCTGTTTAAAAAGATTTGTGTCAGGGTATAATTGTCGTTAAGGAGACCGCAAAGGCTAGGACTTCAATCGTTTTGACATCAAAAAGAACAGAGTGAAAGTGCTTTAAATCTTTTTTTCGTAAAAAGGGGGCATAAGTGAATGACGGAGAACAGCACAAGCTCTCATCGTAACACTAAATAGCCCTTAAAAACTCTGAAATCTCATTCTGTTAGACCTTTGAAGCAGACAGGAAACGGAAAAAATTCGCTGCCGACTTTTCTGACCGCTGTTGGTCTTCGACACTGCAAAAGGTCCCCTGTTACGCGTGAAGAATTGGAAGACTGCTTTTCAGGATCAAGGCAACAATGCTGGACTTTCTGCAGAAAGGTTTCACGTCTTGAAAAACAAACTACTTAGAAATAGAAGAGACGCTAACCAACCGATTTATTATGACGTACAGGAAAACCGCTTACCGGCACAAAGACCGAGGGCTTATCGATTTTTAAGCAGGTTTGGAATACTAAGTGTTTTGGACGCATTAAAATGGCGTCCAAAGACTTTTTGCGTAACTAACGTCAAAAATTTGCCTGATAAATTCTCCTAATGTTTCCAAATAATCTATCTGACTTTAAATTAAAAAAGATTCTACAAGAACAACAGTAACGTCGTCGCAGGAGAGCGAATTCATGTGGTTCTACCCGTATTTTCTAAACTATATAGTAAGTAAAAAAACCTAGGAGCTTCTCCGGACTCCAACTTGACCTTGATTTTCATAGAGGACGTGGTCCTGATTGACTCTGGACAGATGTCTGACAAATGACCTGATCAAATGAGAGTACTGTTTCGGTTGGTATAAACCTGGAATACTTGTCCGCAAACCTGTCAGAAAAACCGACAAGGATTAAGTATATGCGCGGGGTACGTGAATGCCAACTGTTGTTTAACGAATTCACCAGCGTCCTAACACTCCTGCCAGTATTTTAAGTATTTTTTAATTACCTGACTGCTCTCCGCGCTGAACTTTTTTATAGGTGAGCTTTCCTATTACAAACTGATTACGTGTCGGATGTGCAGAACAACGAACCAATGCAGACATTTTAACAGTACCGACTCCAGCGAATGCCAACCTGCCGACGAAGAGCCAACCAAAAATTGCAAAACAATATTTTCTTCTAAAAATATAGTAAATGGTTCTCCATAGTTTTCTCTTATCCCGCACATATGCTTAATCCTCGCTGAAAAAGTCTTAGTTACAGGGAAATCACAAAAACTTTTTAAAAAATGGGCACTTTTGCCAACAAAGACTTTTGTCCAAATCGATATTATTAGGAGAAGTGGTACTATTAGAGAATTTAAGAAGGTATGACCGTATGCACTTCCAAGCTATTCAAAAAACTTGGTTGGCTGCGAAATTATTATTTGTTTAAATGGGACCTAGTTTACTGTTAGTCTAAACGGTTCTTAAAAAAATAAATGACCGTTGAGGTAGCTGATACATGTGAAAGTCCTGAAAGCTAGTCAGGCTTTCGCTGTTGCTGGACTAGAAGGCTGGATTACAGCGAAAGCAGGCATTTCGGTAAAATGTTGATATTCCTCTTTGATTGAAGGTCAACCGGCTGTCAAAAGGTCAACCGGCTGTCAAAAGGACTTCATGACGTAAAGGAAGGTGGGACGCTTCGTGGGTTGAACGGTACTTCCACGTGAAGTAGTGCGTCCAATGGACATGTGGCCCTAGGGCAGAGCGTTGAAGTTAATGTTCAGCAACCTCAGAAGGTTGGGTTTCGAATCCCACGTCATGCAGATCTGGAATTGACATACAACTGGCTGACGACTGTTGCCAAGCCACCGACGAAAAGTTCAGTCTTGCGCGGTAATCAGTCTACAGGTCTGCTGATTATTAGGATCGATCGTTCCACTGAACAGAGCATTTGCGGGAAAATTATTAGCATGAGACCGAATACAAATATTCCATGTCCTCCGAAACACACCGGAATTTTAAACCAAAGCCAGCGCAATTTTAGGCAAAGTTCGCTGTATATTTTTCAAAATCCCACAGTAAGGCTTTTCTCTGTTAACGTACTGTTTATGAAATTTTACGGAATTTCATGATTGTGAAGTACACATTCTTTTCATTTTGCCACATGGCAAAGGGGATCATAAGTATCGAGAAAATTATCAGCGGTTGAATGAGAGAAGACCAGACTGATAAACAACTTCGACAGATAATCATCACACATGTTGGAAATGACCTTGTCAAGGCCACTTAGGCACTGCCACATATAAATGGATTTGCGGAATGACCGAAGCCGCGCTAGTTATCACCCAACTGCCCATCTGACAGTTAATTATGAACTTTCGTGTGCAGATTTCTGCCCGTATCGAGAATTCCGGAAAACTGAGCTTCCGAGTTTGAACTAGGCGTTAAAAACGCAGCACTGGAAATTGTGACTTCTTCATTTAAGTGTGGTTTCGTTATATTGACAAAAACGTCTGAGCAACAGTTAGCCCTGAGGAACGACAACCATCATTGACAAAGTGATTATTTTAAATGCAAACCGTGAGCTGCTAAAGATGAGAAGGCGGAACAACATTCACTATCCTTAGTTAACTATTTTAATAGAGCACCGGTGTAACTTGCGTCTGACTTCCTTATCAGCTGACTGACCTGTTCGTAAAATAACTTCTCCGCGACTCACACCCTTTCCTCTGCAAATGTCAAACACTAAAGCGTCTCTAGAGGGCGCATATATTGAAAGATTAACTAAAATTTTGAAGTGAGATTTCAGATTCAAAGAAGTACTTAATTAGTGCAGTAATATTGGTCATCGGGCGGTCTAGTCCCACTACACAACAGTCATACCAGAATGCCGGATTGCGAACGCGTGTCATATTAGTCACCTGCAAACAACCAATTCATGTAAAATGGATCCTTAAGTAGTATGTATTTTCCAACTGACTTTCGGCACCCTTGCAAATTCAAGAACACTTTTTAAAAAGGTATGCATAAAAATATCTCTTCTTGTACTCGTGTATAGGAAATTGGGTTTCTCTTCCAACGTACCACTCAAAAAGTGCATCACTTGATGTCAGCATATTCTGTATTTACGAGATTGCTAATGGCCGTAGAATGTCTATTCAAATAGCGTTGTTCTCGCCCGTTTGGCAGCGAGAGGGGGAACTACATGAAATTAAAGTTCTGTTAGATACTCGGTATGCGTGGCGGAGCTGACCCTGCCAAGGCCACATAAACGCCGCCAAAATTAAATGAGTCTGCGAATCGACTAAAGTACCACTTGTAGGTTTTTCCCTCGAGCGAAATTACCTGGAAATAGCGCTTCGAACTGCAGCGTCGCCGTTAAAAGCGTAACACAGTAAACTGTGACTTCGGCTTTTTAATTTGGTCTCTTGGCGTGCGAAAAAAAATATGAGCAGCCGTCTGCGACTGTGCGTGGGAAAGTGACGAAGGCACTTACTTTAGATGCGGAACGCACACCTCCAGAAATGACAAGGAAGAACAGAAATACTTCACATGATAAAAAACCTGCTTCAGAGTGAAGATGTCCATCTGTCAAACAGCATTTTAAAACGACTCCAATCCGTCTGAAGCACAGACGAAAGAGAGACCTTATATCTTTACACGCAAATGCGTATCCCCTGTGTGATTTTGCGCCAAATTCTACCGGGATAGCTAGTTCTGTACCCTAGTCCTAAGAGTAACCCTGGCTTTAACCCCCTTGAAATTTACACAAAGTCACCTGTCATACGGGGGGTGCTTATTCGAAAATCTGTTTGAAAAATGTCTCTACTGCGGCTCACACAATCTCCTCTGCAGTTGCCCATCATTCAAGCGTTTGTATACACTTTGAGCGGCGCATCTCATTGAGCATCAGAAGAAATTTTGAAATATTATTTCTATTAAAACTGATAGCTTTGGTGGACTTATATTATTGAGCAGCTTGCAATATGATCCTGCAATATTTAAGTCCCGTTGTAACGTAAGATTTTGAATGCGTATCTTCTCGGCCTTCCTCGAACATCCCACTTGCTAGAACGATAACTTAAATATCATGACTTTCTCCATCAATGCTCGATGCTCCGAAGACTATTCATATAAATCTACTTCACAAAAAATACGCACTAAAATGTCATTTCTCGTACCGTTTTTTTAACTGAATCGCGTCTTCTTGCCATCTTCTGCTTTTAAAATGGCGCTTATTGAGTTTAAGATGTTTTCAACCAAAGTAATTTCGGGAACTGTGAACTGTCTGTAAAACTAGCGTCGTAGGTGTCCGCTCATTAAAATTCTTTACTACAAAAAGGTTTGTATTCATCGTGAAATTGTAAAATACCACACAGAGTTTCCTTAACAGCGTAGAGGATGCATGATTCTCCTTAAAAGGGAAGCGTAAAGCTTGTAGATCGGAAAGCCTAAATACAAATGCAACAGCAGGTAGAATTCAAAGTCATTGAGGAATCGATACACTTTTTAAAACCGAAGATACCCCTTCTTTAAGCAGAAAATTCGGAGAAATCCCAATTTGCAACAAAATGAGCACACGATCGAATAGTTTTATGCCAGATTTCTATAAATTATGTTTAAATTACATAAGTGCCGAAAATTGATAAAAATAGCCATTCTTTACGGAGTTTTGCTTTGGATTAAAAAACCAGCATTTCGACAGGGTTGGAACAACTTGGAATAGTGCTGCGCTGTGATCGATATTACAGCGACGCCTAAGCGACCCTTTCGTACCGAGATCATATTCCACGAGATACTCCCCCTAGTCACTCCATACTTTACGCAAGCTTCTGCCTACTCCATCAAATATTCTGTTGTCTCAAAAACTTCATTTTGTCGGGTTCAAATAAGGAATTATGAATACTAATTGATGACGTAACGGACCATCTGAAATCTCTCCATTTGGGATACATGAAAATGAAAACTCTTTCCCGACAAAAACCATTGTTTAAGAAATTTATTTGTCACAACATACCTTCCGATTCGGATGTTACACGCTGTGGGGATTGCTGTTTTCGACTGCGAGACCCGTACGACGCTGTCGTTCTTGGAAGCTGGAGGGGGGGGGAAGGGGGGTAAAAATTTCGTCATCAATAGACATGCATGAGTTTGGTGAAGAGTGTAAAATCAGCATTATTCTGGCAGATGACATTACAGTGAGGAAACCGTTCCTAGACTCTGGAAATACCAGCATAAGCAAGAAAGTAAAAAAGACACCTAGTTTAGAATCACGGGAGTATACAAGGAAATTTTGCATGGGATGGACATTCTGAGACCGTACGTCATTGATTTACTTGCACCGCAGACGAATGTTTCCTGGTTTTCCAGGTGAAAACCGTCTCCCCTTCACATTTGACCTTCAAACGGACTCATAACACGACCGCCGTCGTATAGGCTTCGCCTATTGTCCACGAATATACTGCACCAAGAAGGCCCATTCGAAAAAGAAGCTAGAGACTGACTGTTTGAATGATTGGCCGTATGATTCGACGAAAATCAGAGAAAAATACCGCAAATCTTTAATTACAGTAAAAGTCCTAACTCGTGAAATGTTAACCGAAATTCTGAAATTTGTCTCCGACTCGAAAATATTACTTAAATAAGGTTATGATAACAATCACCGTGCAACATAATTCCATAATAATCCAGTTGCTTTAGGATACCGGCTTTTAAACTTACTTCAATCCGGCCGGCTGCAGAAACTATACTTTAGGCAGTATATTACACTTTGCAAAAAGTACATTGTGTGACCGATCTCATGAAATTTCGGCTGAAATTCTGAAATGCACTGTCGATTAGGAAGGACCACTCAGGCGCGGTTTTAATACTGATTATCTTGCAGCATGATTCTATAATATTTCGGACTCGACAAGATGTCATCTTTTGGATACACTGCTTTTCAATCGCCTTTAGAAGCCGCACCCGCTAAAAAATTACTACTTAAGTAGCATAGATGTCCCCATTGGTCTTCGGTGGCCTTGCAAATTCGAATATATTTTATAGAAACCGCAGACAAAAATATGCTTTCTTTCAGTCGTATGATAGAAAATTACGTCATCTTTATATTTTATACTCGTTACATCAGCGTCTAGCAATTTATACTAAAAGGTGCATGCTTTTCGAATATGGAAAATCATATATTCCCCTATGCCTTTAAGAAAAAAACCATATAGAGCTCATAAAATCTTGCGCTGGATGCGGACTATGTTGTCCATTTCATGAGGGAAAGTGGTATACTGACAGTTACGGAGCTATATGAATGGGCACAGCGCGGTCTTAAAAAATCTCATAATTAGAAACTTTTTCAAAACTTAAGTATAAATAAATAAATTAGTTTTACTAAAGAGCCTTTGGGGTCCCTTCATATGTCCTTTGTTTGGGCGTATAATGTTAAGACAACCTCATTTTCTACCAAACGCGTAGGGTCACCGAAAACCAATTGGAAAAATGCATGCTACTTAAGTAGTAATTTTTTATCGGATACGGTGTTTACAGGAGACCGAAAAGCGGTGTATTCAAAAGCTGACATCTTGCCAAGTCCGAAATATTGTAGGATTATGCCGCAAGATAATCAGTATTCCAACCGCGCCTAGGTAGTCCTACCTAATTGACAACACATTTCAGAATTTCAACCAAAATTACATCAGATCGGTCATTTACCGTACTAGTGCGAATGTTTCTCATTGATTGCCGGTGCTCTCATAAATTCAGACATATTTCTTAGAAAACATTCATAAAAATATTTATTATTTTGCTCACTTGATAGAAAGTCATGTCGTTTTCAAATTTTATACTCAAGGAAAACGTATAGTTGTGTTTTCGCAGTTTTTTTCAATTTGCGTATATTTTGTAACCCAAAATGCCGTTACTCTTGAGTTCGGGGTTTCCAAAATACCCGCTGTATATTTTCTGTGTGCATAAAATCGTATCGTTCTATATATTATAGGCAGGCGGCTGCATTGGCTTTATAACGCAACGGTTAGGCAACGGTATAGAGAAGGACCCCAAATGACTGTCAGTAGACTGTGGATCGTGTACTACAGCATTCTATCTTGGCATGCATCTGCAGGTCGTTACAGAAATTACACTGCCATCAACAATTACTTCCCACCACCTCACATCCTAACCCAAAATCCGTTATTTTGTAAAGCCTACTTTTTGTTTATTGTTTAATTGCCACTCTTATTTCCGTTGTCGTACAATAGCGTAGGATAAGACTTTTGGCATAAATCCGGGCAATTTCTGTGTTTTCTTTCATTTTGTCAGCTTACTGTCTGGCTTGCTGCTCCACCCATAAAACTCATTTTACAATAAATCTCGTATGCCACGATCCGCAGTTAAGTGGTTCCTCCTCCATACCCTTGCCCTTCTTAAAACTTAACCGTGGATTTTAGCCATATTGTAAACTCTGCAAGCCAGGTTAGTAAATGCTGTGAAAGGATGTTTTATGAACGGGCATTTTAAGGTCTCCTTAGTCTCCTAAATAGAAACTTTTTAAAACCTAATAGCACTTTTTCTTCAGATACAAAATTTAAAGAAGAGGTAATTTTCTTCTAAATGAGAAGCAGGATGGATATTTTGTGCATTTTTTGTGAAATATACTGAAATTTATTAAGGCGTCGGAAATCAGTGGGAAACATTTATGCTATTTAGGTAATCATCTTTTCAAATTATAATTTTTGCAGACAACCGGAAGGAAGTTCCTTCAAAAAGCTGGTATCCCGAAGTAACTGAAATAATTTGGGATTATCCTCTGCGGTAACTAATGCTACAGCCCTACTTTGGTAGTCTTTTCGAGTCGAAAACGAATTTCAGATTTTCGGTTAACATTTCGTGAGTTGGCACATCTACGGTATATGTTCTCAAATCCCCAAATTGCATGCTACGGCATCAGAATTCTGTTTCGCTACAAATCGCATGGCATTTTCGATTTTGATAATATAAGGTCAATCTTACAGAAAACCTTACGATAAACGGCCCTGAAAGTGGTTTTTTTTCTGTGCAACGGCAACGGACTGGCAAGTGCATTTACATATTCCTGAGTTCACAAACCAGAGTGGAGGGTGATTCCGAGTCACTGAAGCAGGTGCATCGTCTCTCATCATTTGGAAATGCCCAAGTTCGCATCAGGAAAGCTGTGGTGTTGAAGGTAGTTCCTTGTGCCTCGTCTTACGGCTTCTGGGGTGATTTAAGCTGGAGCCCGGTTGCACTTTACTTGGGTTCCTACCTGCCACTGTTCTGATTGGTCGCTTGTACTGCCGTCAGTCAGTGTTTGTTGGACTCGACGGGAACCTGCCCCCCTCCCCTGTCCCCGTTAAAGTCCACTTGCTCTCGCAAGGAGTCTGCTTACATGCAACTGTCTCTGGCACATAACAGGTTATGTAACTGACGAACTATGCTTCCCCCCTAGGAAGGATTTCTTAGGTGGCGTTTTAAGAATGACTCTCGTGCTGAATAGTCTGAATAAGTTGTGGTTATGTCGGGATGTCGTCTTTCAATGCGTCTTTCCGGCTGCCTATAAGATTTGTGTTCAATAAAAAGATAACTTGCGTAACGCTGTCGTTGCCCACTGATTCTCAGTGTATTTATGAATGTAGGCATATGTTATAGAAAATATGCAAAAAAACATTCTCTCTTGAACTCATTTTACAGTAAAATACGTCTGCCGTGAATTTCCTACTCAAATACAAGGTATTTCACGCTTTCAAATGAGTTAGTAAATAAAATATTTTTGTAAGAGCGTGCAATATTTGTTCAGCTAACGTTGTCTCTGTCTTCTCAGCAATATTCCTTCTGAATTAAACAACTTGTTCCATATCAAATGCAAATTTTTGTATCCCATATAAAGTAATTTTCATAGCATAGAAGGCTGGTTTTCTTTAAATGGAAGGCGAACAGCTTATAGTTTGGAAATCCCACACGCAAGTTCAAAGCCTGGTCAGATGTAAATAATTTGCGAACTGAAAAGCATTCTTTAAACCCAGGTGTGATCTTTGTTTCGACAAAAATACAAAGACGCGGGGTGCAACACAATGAGTTTATGCGTGCTTTCTACTGACTATGCTTGGAGTTTTAGGGAAATCTGGAACTATTTGAAAATATCCGGATTAACGTGGCAGTCGTTTTAGCGAATAGGGTCTTTATGGGCGGCCGGAAAGGCACGTATTGAGAGACTGACATCCCGACTAAGGTGGAATATATGTCATGCTAATCGATAACCCAATACAATCCAAGCAATCCTTCCTAATCGAGATTATATTTCAGGACTAGAGTTAATTTTTCATAAGATAAGCCAACTAATGTGACTGGTTGTGAGAATCTAAATTGCTGCTTGTCATCTGATGCCAGCCTGAGGTCAGACACCTGGTTTGCCTGCTTCAGGACGCAACGACGGGTCTTGGTCTTCGATAAAGTTCTGCCGGCAATCTCTCAAGACCGGCGGCACCGATCCTCCCAACCAGATACAGTAGGTAAGCTAACTCATGAAATGCCAACCGAAATTCTGAATTGCTTTTTCCTTTCGAAAATATTAATTAATTAGGTTTGTTAAACCAATCAGCGTGCATCGTAATTTTAAAAAACCTCAGTTACCTCAAGATGCCGATTTTCGAACGAACTTCCTTGTGGCTGCATGTAAAAACTACACCCTGTAAAAAATGACTACTTTATAAGCATGCACTTTTCTCGTTGATTTTCGATGCCCCTATAAATTCAATTCTATTTCACGGAAAACATGCATAAAAATATTCATTCTTCTACTCATTCGGTAAAAAATTAAGTCTTCTTCCAATTTTATGCCCGAAGGAAGGGTATCATTCGGTTTTTCAAAAAACTTTTCCAATTCCCGAATCATTTCGAATCCCCAACTGCCGTTACATGTGCATTCAGGGTTTCCAAACTACAAGCCGTATATTTATCGTGTTCGGAAAACCATAAATTTCTCTCAGGTAGTAAGAGAACACCATGTCGGATTCAAAACATTTAGCACTGGATTCGAGCTATATTGTTTGCTTTTCATGAAATATAACTGGAATTTTAGGGGCATCGAAAATCAAAGAGAAAAATTAATGCCATTTAACTATCGTTTATGCATGCAGCCGGAAGGAAGTTCGTTCGAAAATCGGCATTTTGAGGTAACTGAATTATGCTGCAGACTGATAAATATTACAATTCCACTTAATAAATCTTTCTGAAACGAAAACACATTTCGGAATTTCGGTTGACATTTCATGAGCTAGCCCACCTACTGATAACGCCAGGTAAATTCTCCTCCCAGCTGCTAAGTCACATCTGTGCGTTCTGACTTCATCAACTTCTCGCTTTTAGTGATATGTTTTTGTAAATCAGCACCGGCAAGTTTGGTACAGTCTCAGTAGTCTGGAAGCGAAGTTATTAGTCGATTCGGCAACATCCCAAGTCAGCCAATTTTGGCGTCGACCCTGATAGCTGACATGACAAAAACACTTCTCGCCTGAGGCACATCGGTGACTGAGCCTCTCCTTGTTTGCCTTCCTGACTCCTACCAAAGCTTTGTCTGTTTTACACATGATGAAACGACAGCCAGACCGTCGGTGCCGACGATGTCATCTATGTGCTCCACAGGGACGGTGGCTTGGGAGTAAATTATTTTATAGTGGCAGTAGACTTGCGTAGTATCTACCGCGCCCTCTTCTCCTCCGTAGCCACCTGGGTCTGGCCATAAGGTTGGACCAAAAAAGACCGGGGGCGGGGAAGGGTGTGTGTGGCTAGCGCGACGAAAACCCGCACCTAGACGTACCACCCCACCCCACAACGGACACCAACCAGGACTTTATGCCACAAAACAAATACGGGGGGGGGGCGGTACGAATTCAAGCAACTGAGCCTGCCACCCCACTCCCCTGTTAGTTCTTTTTACGAATTCGCATTCCCAATAACGTTTTCCGGACTCCGATCTAGTCCCTGTGTTGGTCCAGCACATCTACCGCTGTGCCTTGCCACTGAACATTGTCAGGAAAATTTTCATTCGTGCCGCAGTCATACATTTGGATGGCTAAGGGCAGCTAATTGTACATTGTTAGCCAAATACTTGTGCAAGCATCTCTTAAACGCTGTTTCGGCACTATAGTTCCCTACTCCCCTCCCCCCGGTCACACGTTGAGGCTTCGCTCCAACATTGAGCCGCTGCTTGGTGCATACTTGCTAGCACGCACCATCGGCAGTCGTTCGTCTGGCATTCGAAGACACCCTACTCTGCTCCCATCGCGTCCGGCCAATCCCTGGAGCGGGGAGACTTTGTGTTATTCTCAGCCAATCACAGCTACCCAATACGAGCAGCCAACTTCAGGATTGACGCGTACATGCTCCAACCCCGACGCCGGACGTTCGCGACTCTCGTCCGGACGCAAATTTGCTCCAACTTACTCACTTATTCACTCTGTACAGAATACAATACTCTCTCACCCTTCACTGACGTTTAAGTTCGCATTATCCTACCCTGGACCTTGTCCAAAGGCCGTGTTTATTAAATTCTGCGGTCAGGTATGGTTATGTAGCCCAACCTGAGGTAAACAAACCCCAGCCGCCTGTAATATGGTACCGGTGGTCATAGGGAATTTTTACAGGTGGGGCCGGGGAACGCACAGGCGACGAGGTCAAGTAATTGTGTGCGAAAGTAAAGCTACTGGGAATGTGCGGTTCTACTTTGAGTGATTTACGAATAATCGTTATAACCCCTAGCGCTAACTCTGCGCATAACCCCTAACCCCAACTCCTAACCATAGCGCCTAATCCGCCCACTAGCCCTAACCCCTAACCCTGACCCTTTACTGAAGCCCTAAGCCCTAATCCTGAAATATCCAAAGCGCCGTTTCGAGTACCTTTTTAACTTTTCATCCATAATGTCAAATTCACGAATCGGCCATTACCATTGTAAACGACACCTCAAATTTGAAGCAAGGTGCACCGTTGATCGTTTAGAGATTGTCGGACTGTTCTGTCGGAGAATTTTAGAAATTCCGACTGTCGCGAGTGACGAAGTCCCACGGAGTGCCCAATAGGACCCAGTTTTGTTGGCGGTCGGAAACCCCCTGAACCACAACTTTTAGCCTGTCATGGTAGATTTGATCGCTTGTTCTGTTGCTGCTACTACCTCTGACGATGGACTCCTATACGAGTCTGAAAGCTCAGGACAATAAGCGGAGTGTTTCGGTGCTCGACTCTCCTTCTTCAGATTTGATCACGTCAATTGTATTGCGACAATCAGCACGTCGATGTGCTGCGCTGACTCACCATAGTCGTTCTCATTCCCTCCTCCATCGCCCAAAGAATAGTTGACTGTCAGAGTTTGTATACTAGCTGATGATGATGATGATGATGATGATGATGATGATGATGATGATGTGGGAAGCCGCACTGGCTGACTCGACGTGAAAGCCAGCGTCTGAGAGGTGCCAGCACATGCTCATACAGCCGTAGTTATGGGGTCACGCAAAAACAACGCAGCCAGATAAACGCGTGCCGTTGGCCCGTTTGACCGTCCCTTTTGGGTCGGCATATCTACAGGGCAGATTCTTGTTGAGAACACTCAAACGAATGGTCAGATGTGGTTATGTGTCCGCACTTGAGGTAAACAAACCCCAGTCACCTGTAATACAGGACCGGTGGTAATCGGGGTTTTTGCAAGTGGGGCCGGGGAACGCATAGGCGACGAGCTCCGGTAATTGTATGCAAAAGAAAAGCTATTGGGAATGCGCGGTTGTACATTGAATGGTTGAGAAATAATTGCCCTAACCCCTAACCCTAACGCCCCTTACCATTACCCCTAACCCTGTCCCCCAAACCCTAACCCTAATCTCTAACGCTTAACCATAGCCCTAAACCCTAACTCGGAAACATCCAATGCAAAAGCTAGAAGGAGACGACAGGCCGAAAGTCAAGAAGGACCACCGGCTTTGGGCCGAGAAAGGTAGACACGGCAACAAAATAACAAGGCCGCCAACAGAACATACACCACAACGCACAACAACACCATGCCAACTCAAAAGAACTAAGTAGGTCAACAGTAGCATGTCCATCAGGTGCGGCTACATAACCATATCTTATGAATTCTGCCCATAACTTTCGCATCTGAGACATGCGAATCTGACTTCTCTGTATCTGACCCGTTCCTACGCGCTTTCACTTATCCGAGTAGAAATTCTCCCCAAATTTGTGAACTGGTACTTTCTGGTCCGCTTTTCCTCTCCTTCCAATGCTATTTAAGCTTTAGTCAAAATTTTAGAATAAAAACTGACAAAGATACCTCGGCAACGTAGACAATTGGCGCCTTCGATGATTTGGATTTTCCTGAGGAATCGCATTGGGGAACAAGGATGTTAAGGCTGCATGTGTAAAAGAGAGTCAGATCAAAAAACAGAAAGTAGTCCATTATCTCAACTATCTTAAAAGCTGCGCTTGCAAGTCTTATATAAAATGTCAAAATAATTTGACATATGCTTCCTTCGCGTCTAGCCAATCCCTGATGTTTGGCCAATCACAGCTACTTCAGCCAGCCAATCAACTTCAAGGCCACACGGACATGCGCTCATGACGGACGCCACTAGCTCAAAGATCCCAAAAGTAACTTTTGTAGATCCTATAGAACATCATGTTGTGTTATGGTAGATGTTTCCTTCGGGGGTTTCCTTAAGCGGTTGGCGCATCGAACAAAGTTCGGCAAGACGCGGAAGCCTGGGACACTTCAAGAACTACAACAAGACAAGTGGGGCAAAAGGCAGGTGTTTAGCGAAGCGTTATTGCGGCTGAGCCTGTGCGTTTCTACTTGATCTCCTTCCTCAGTGAAAACTTTGACTGACGGATACGTCATCAAATTCTATAAGCGCCCGCATATTTTTACTAAAACTTCCCAAACGAACATTCTCGGATTACGACCATCACCTTACCCCTGGGAAAAGCCATATTGTAGACCGAATATCAAGTTGAATACTAGTGAATGTGCAGGTTCTCTGTCTGGCGTTGCGTGTTATTTTGAGGATTTCAAGAGATCCAAAGTTCTTGCCAGGTATTTTCTAACTTGAAATACTTTCAGGGCTAACCCTCCTTGTCGCCTATCTCGCTTCTATCGCTGAATATAATGCTTTTGCTGATGAAAACTGTTTGATTTCCGAAAGTTCGCTTCATCATAAGGTGTCAAAACTAAACGCAAAATAGAAGAACAAATAGTAAAGTAAGTATACGATAAAAGGTTCACTCATCCTAACCCTTCCCGTGGACCTCTGCCTAAAGGTTTTTATAAATAATTTAGCTTCTTCCTTTCAGCACAAGTTAGGTCAATTCAGTACGTATATGGAAATCTGTAGATTTATGGCATGCTCCTAATTCCTGCCTTGATTTACTATTGAGTCTTTAGAGACTTATAAGGAGGTCACACCGTACCTAAAAACTCCGAAATCTTTCTCGCACAGTCCTATCTCCACTTACCAAACCGCCTCCGATGACGTTGTTACCTCGGGTTTCAGAACTGCAGAAGGAGAGTGAAGAAAGCAGTCAGTGGAAAAAGCGAACACCATTTAATTTCCTCAGAAGATATTAGCAGACCTGGAATATTTTCCACGGCACAAACCTTCTCACTTTCGTTCCGAAAGTTACTATTGCTAAACATTAACAGCCTGCACACAGGCAGCCAGTAGCGTGTGTTTGCAACACGGATACCGGCCAAAAACTAGTAGTTAACAGTGCTTCTGGACTTGTTAAAAGCAGTGGAGTTAATGAAATTCAGGGTCGCTGCATTCTGTAAGTCGAAAATTGTCTTGAGTTGGAAGTCTGAAGCTAGTTACTTCACGATTTCCCTGAAGAGAGTGACGGCTTTGAATCGGGATCAAAGTATTACCCGACTCCCTGTAGTCTACTTAAGAAATGCAAAACATGGGTTGTTCTGATGTTGTTTTACGCATAGCGGCACCCCGGAGGGAATGGTCCCCGTCTGTCGGGATGCTAGTGGGTGGCAGTCAGAACGTATTGCGGCAGATATTCATGTTTCGTGTAAACCGGAAGTGCGTGATCCTACTGACTATCGGCTGATGCCCAGTTTGCAATATTTCTGCCTTTGCATTTCGAATGGGTACTGCATTGCGGAGGCCACGGACCCCGAAGATTTCTCCACTGGTTCGCATTTCTCGAAGCTTCACGCCAATGGCTGATAATGTTAACACCTGTCAGGGAAATTATATAAACGAATACCCCACCTGTTCTCAACAGTGCCGTCGGAATAGTCTGTGGCAAAATAAGTCGCACAATCAACGGCTTTGCTTTGTGATCGAAGTGTTGGTGCATTTCACTTTTGTGGAGAAGGTTTTAAAATGGCCTTTCACAAAGTTACATGCCCGCGACGGAAAACCTTGACTCCAGTTTGTGAGGAACGTACAGTAGGTGGCGTATCTCATGAAACTTTAATAAAAGTCCAAAAGATTTTTGATTGGGCCGCCGTAGTGATCATCTTGCAGCATAACCGCAGCATAGTTTAATTTGCGCCAGGATAAACGGCTTTTGAGAGCACCTCTTACCGGCCACCGGCAAACTCCCACTCCTTAAGGGTGGCAGACGGTGAGCGAACCAGCCCTCTGTGTCAGCTTCCCCCCTTGATCCCCTCTCTTCCTCTCCCCAGGGGAGTGAGTTCCGTAGCAACGATCGGTGAACGTCCCTCTACCAAATTTCTTGAGATCATGCTGCACGATAGTTAATATTAAAATCCCACCCAAATGATCTTCTATGGTCGAGAACGGATTTCGGAATTTTGGCTAGCATTTCCTGAGATAGCACAGTTACTGTATTGGGCGCTCAAAGAAGTTTATGAATACCACGGAACGCCCATAAAGTGTCGCGATGTAATATGTACCACCTTCTGACCAATGCTCTCATAATTTCAGACACTGAAATTGGTGGTAGAGGAGTTCTCACCGACCGCGTTACGGAACTCACTCGTCCCATTGTGCCTCGCAGGCTCTCTCTCTCTCTCTCTCGAGTCCCGTCAACAGCCGCCCAGTCGCGCGTAGTAAGTAGACCAGAAGAGCATTACTGACAAAGGCAGGGAAGATAGGATAAGCCATTTTTGACTTATTAGTCGTCGGTAATGCTAGTTTGTCCATATTACGCCCCTCTGTCCGGCTGCTGGTAGAACAAGAGAGGGAGAGAGAGAGACGGGTGAGTTCCCTAACGCGATCGGTATGCGTCCATCTACCGTTACGGATCTCACTTCTCCCGTTGTGTATTACGGGATCTCTTCCGAGTCCTACTAACGGCCGCACAGCAGCGCATGGTATGCGCAGAACGGTATTCCCGACAAAGACAAGGGAGGCTGGAATGGACATTTCTGGCTCATTAGCCGTCGTTAGCCAATCATACTCAACCTCGAAGTGTGCAACACCTGGGGCTCGATTCCGAGTCCAACACCCCTAACTACCGAGTCAGGGACTCGTTGTCCTGTCAGTTGCGATCGGGTATAAACCACACGCAAGTAATTCCACCTTCTTGGGTGCCTATCCCACCCCCCTTCCGCAGCACGTCGCCGCGCTTTCGCCGCAGTGATTAAACCGTCGTCAGACTTTTAACGATCCACCGAGACCCTCCTACACCTATCTGACCATCTGAACAGCCCAGGAGTTGCAAACCAATGCTTTGCGACCCTTCGACAGCACCCCAAACAGTCTGTAGACAAAAGCAGACACGACCCTCAAAGAAAGCCCCCATTCGTTTTTCCTGTCTGTTAACACACTACCACCCATTCCCCCCCATTCACAATACCGGTTAACTTTGAAGTTTAATCCATACAAGCTTTAGTCAATACGGGGGATGTATGTGTCTTTGGTGAACTCTCTTACCTTTCCAGCGAATACAACAAGCTGAAAGGTCCTCTTATCTACCCCCATAATCTGAGAGCGGCGACCGGTAAAGCGATAACTATCATAGGTCGGGTAAGTCTTCTGTTCTCTCCCGAAGGCACATTCGTTTCGTATCCATTCCTCGTAACACCAGGTAATCCATAGAATCTCGTCCTAGGTCTCTATTTTGAGTGGGTCATGGTTGCGCTATTCTCACCAAATACCGCCCTTATAAATTCAATTATATTTTATAGAAGGCATGCACAATCATTTCCTCCTTGTGCTTATTCCGTAGTGCATTTCGTCTTCTTGATGAAAGGCTGTATTCCAGTTTCTACAATTGTTCAGTTGCGAACAGTTTTTAACCCGGCCCGCAGAGGCACTTGCATTAAAGGTTTGCAAACTATAAGCTGCGCCCATTTTATTGCAGAAGACTTATACCTTCCTCCATGATATTAGAAAGATATCATACAGGGCCTCTGAAACCTCGTAATAGATGTGAGCCATGTCGTATACATCATAGGGCCATTAATGAACTGAAGGATACTATGCTATTTGTATGGACTGAACGCGTCACGGTTTTGAATACATCGTGTAACTGCAAACTTTTTGAACTGAAAGCTACCCTTTCTTCGAGAAGACAATTTGAAGAGTACGGAAATTAAAAACAAATAAGTAAGACAAAGAGCATTTACGCGAATGTTTTCCATAAAACATGTTTCGATTCATTAGATCACAAATAAACGGCGAATTTCGCAGTTAGCCGTAGAAACGCACATTCGAAGTCGGATTTCGGCATAATGCCGCAAGATACTTAGCACTATAGTTCTATTTAAACAATTCGTTCAGATGAAAGACACATTTCACAATTTCCACTTAGATTTCAGGAGATAGTCATCAACCGCAGGGACAACTAGACGCGCATGCTGCATGCTAAAAAGTCCTAACTTACTGACCGCGTTGTTTAAACCTAGAATGCCTGAATAAATGAGCCTCGAGTTTGCTAATTTGGACACAAACTCAAGTAGGAGGGCTTAGTAACAATCAGGCATTCTCTAACTCACTGTCCAGGAGGCTCTACATTGAGTCACGAAGCGAAACGGAACGGGTACGTCCCAACAGTCTGATCGGTAGGCGCCCTTTCTAGAAAACATTAATCGTATTTGTAGGGTTTCGAAAATTCTCATGATAGCATTCAGAAGACTAATTGGCGAGCATACGTTTGCTTTCGATAAGTTCTCGTCAGACCAGTAATGCATGCCAGGCATTAGAAAAATCGATTAACGTTCGTCTCAAAACACAGGTGGGGTGTGGGAATATGAGAGTCATAAGGGTAATAGGTGGTAATAAGAGTAAATGACAGGGGTAGCTTTGACTACAGTCAAAGGTTGACTGACTACGTTTGCAACTCTCCGCGCAATTCTGTTTTCCCCCAGTCTCTGACACTGACTTATTACCCCCTCCCCTACTTCCACTCCGCGTGTGTTTTAGGACGAACTTTTATCGATTTCCGTAATTACTGGCATGCTTTACTTGAACCTGTTCCCGCCTGACGAGAATTTTTTCGAAAGCAAACGTATGCTTACCAACTAGTCGTATAAGCTGTACTTGTGCAAGACTTGATTTGTGTGGTTCAGCTTTCAAGACCCGCTAGCCCCTAACGCCAGGAAATGTTCAACGCGACACTTATGCTATTACCAAATGGGTTAGAGGCTGGATGCCAGGTCTTTATCTGCTGGCACTTGTAAACTCGCCGATAAATGAAAAATGGATTGCTGCTCTATCAAAATCATCCAAGTTCACATCCGCCAACAAAAGCCTAATTTGCTTAGTTTACCCAGCTCCTTTGTAAGGTAGATGCGGGTTCCGCTGGTCTACTGTTAACTTTTAGGCGTCTCAGCATTATTTGACCCTGGATAGTCTGAGTCGACTGCATTAACTTGGACTCCACCGTTGAGCAGTGAGGTGCTCTGCAGAACGCTGGTTTGATTATTGTTAGTAACTTCATGACCCAAGTACTGCTTGTCAAATCTGTGTGAGGTCGGCGTTGTAACCTCGCCGATGTGACGTAGGACGACTGTGTAAGACAAAACTCTAAGACTAAGAGGCTCAGTACCCTTCTGTAACCTCTGAGACAGGTAGTTCAGGTGATAAAATCGGCTTACTAATTTTGTCCAATGACATACTAAACCCTGGCTTACTATCACAGCGCCCAGCGACGGAATCGAAACCGAAAATGATGAGTATATTTCCCCTCCCCCTGACTGTAATACTTATTGAATCCAGACTTTGGTCGGATCTTATTTCGTAGCCATACCTGCATTAGACAAACCCCAGCCTGACCCCTAACCCTAACCTCTGACAGGTACGATGACGAAATAAAATCTTACGCAAACTTCCTCCACTGCAATAAAGGACTTTAGCGCAATCATCCTGGTTTGTGGGATAGAGAAAAATCGATAATTTCAGGGCTGATCAACTCAGCCAATTATTTAAAGATTCTGGTCGATATTCTGCACTAAAAGCCTTGACAAGGATGAGCCAACCAAGCTCTCGAAAACATCAGTAATACAGTTAGCCTGTTCCGGTAAGCTCCTTCTCCTTCTCAAAGAACTAGCTAATTGGAAGGACGGATAACCAATCTATTTGCGACAATCACTTTGTGGTTTAAGCAAAGGCAGTTTGTCGCTCTT